CCGATACGCGCTATAGTAAATAACAGCCGGCCCCTTCCGTTTATCAGATAGAGACTCACCGGGCCAGAACTTCTGGCTGCTATCTAACACACATCTTATAGAAGATGTCAAAAGAATTTCAAATAATACATTAGAATATATTCAAATACCTTCTTTGGAACTAGAGACTGCCCCGAGCCTACATAATAGCACCCATGTAGATACATACTAGCGGATGTCTCACTGTTACCCGGTAGGCCCTGTGGCTTATTAGCTTGTTACATATCCTTTTATGTTCTGCGACAAAGGTGCGATATGATGACTAGTTCTTCGTCGTGTTCCATATCAATAACCTAAGAAATGGGGTATAAGAGAGAAGGATTCTATCTCTTGGATCATCATAAAGTTCGATGTTATTAATATAAAATTACAGGGACATTCAAGTATTCCAATGCAGGTTCGGTCACACACTCGCGTTTCCAGCGGATTTAATCCAATTCAAATTGTTCTACGAACCTATTTGTGGGTGACACTGTAGATGTGGTGAGACCAAATGTCCGGAGGTTAAATTTGCAGGTCTGAGATAGATTATGTCCCGTTAAAGAAGGAGATATGGAATGAAGGAGAAGACAGACAAGAGAGAAACAAAACACAAGTACCCTTGAAACATCTCAAGGCTTGCAGAAAGTACTCTCATGGGGGACTGCCTAGTGGTCTCGGCTCAACCGATCCATTCATCCACCTGCATAAACGGAAGCCCGCCGCATCACTTGCATGACTACCTAGCTGCGAACGCCTCCTATTCGTTCGCTATAGATATAGTTTCCCTCTTCCTAAGTAGTCAACATTCATGATTCTCCCTTTTGCTTCACCCTCAGTAAATATCCTCCTTGCATACTTACTTCGATCGGTTTCAAATTCCCATTCCTTGATGTAAGACTTGACAAAATTGCTGCAGCGAAGTGAATGGAAATTTTCATTCGCTCAGTCGAAACTAAATTTTGTGCAACAATATCCACGGATTAAAATGTGTTCGAATCACAATCTGTCTCACAATCTATTGATCTGGAAACAGGTTCAAGTATTATCGTGTTAGGTTGCGACTTCCTTGGATGAAACAGGATGTAGTCCTCCGTGATATAGTTTTGGATTCGCAATAAAAAAGCAAAAAATTGACAAAAGCCGAGCCGAAAGGGGGTATAGAAATATACACAACAGAAAAAAGCTAAATAATAAGACATGCCAACGCTCAAATACCCATAGGGTCAACAAAAACGAGGGAAATGAAAAGTGTCCGCAAGATTTCTAGATTGAAAATCTTCATACTATAGCCGAGGGGACTTCTCGGTGCTATGTACAATTGTTTCATGAACAACCTTTATTCCACCCTGGCTACCCTGACTATGGGAATCCCAGTCGCCATCGCCTGCGGTGCATGTGGGGGGTTGTTGTCGTGAGGTAGGTAAGATCATTTGCTCGTCGCTGATTGTATTCCATTGAGTGTCTGCAGGAATCGATAGTGGATGGCGGAACTTCTTGCGTCGGGAATACCCGCCGCCGCCAGTGTCGGCATCTGATAGTGGATAGCCTTGGTAGCTCTCTGAGCCACCCCTTGATGAAATGTATAGACCAGCCCGTCTTGTGAATCGTCTTATCAATGGGTAGATCATGGGAACATTGCCAATGATGACGGCGACGAAAGTCTCGCGGCAGGCCCAGCTACCAGCTTGTTGAGCCCCATTTGCGCCAGCCTAATAAACCGTTAGATTTTATTCAGCAAATAATCATCTGTACGACTCACTGTTAAAATGAGAACACAACGCAGAATACCAGCCATCATAACAAACAAACCACCACTAAAAAGAACCAGGAGCTCGAGTTTTTCCCGCCATTTTAGTCGCGCTTTAACAAGCATCTTGACGGATTTATTGTTAGCGACATTACACACAAATATTTAGAGAGGCTTACCGGGGCTGGAATGCTAATCAGATAGAGGTCAGTCGCGACATTAAGTACCACAGTCACATAGATGTCAATCTTTGAAACGGCGGGCTGACAGTAATCTAGGGAATAATCAGAGGCGCGGTCTCTCAAGGTGGCAAGTCATTGATAAGGTATGGCGTACTCCCAGGGTTTGGATATATTTGCCAATTTTTGTCCATTGGATGGCATCCGAAGAGAATTGAACAGATCGTAGCAATATAAGTTATGGCGATCAGAACGTAGGCGATATGGATTCGGATTCGCATATTCACTAAGCCTGCGCTAAAAAGTAGGATCTATGTTAGTAACGAAAAACAGAATACATACGACAGAATGAAAACCCACGTCAATCGAGAGTAGAAAATGGCCATGCATGTTTTCAGCAACCATAATAACAGAGTGTATAATGACCAGCCAGCTACCTGGACCTTGGAGCCACCCACACGCAGGCGATATTCTTCCGAATCGGGTGACAATTTTTGCCGCTGTTCATCCGTCATCGAGTTATTGGCAAGACCATTGAACCACGAGCCGACCATGTATGCTGCACCGGTTTCTAGCCCATACACCACCTATACCCATATTAATTAGCAAGATGAAAGCAGAGAGACCGCAGGTTCGAATTGAACTCACACATGCCACCAGCATTAGATAATCATCAGCTTGAAAGCCTTTTGGGCCCACCATAATCCATCTTGCAGTTGTTCGTAGGCCAATGATGACAATTGCTACCCCCAACAAAGTGAACGCCTCGGTATTAAACCCATTCATAGTTGACGAGTTGCAGTGGAATCTCCGTGTTATATGCCATCAAAATCAAAGGAAAAGACCATTCAACTCAGGGTGTACATTCAGATAAAGGGAGAGAAAGTCAATTGCACCGAGGGGGGGAAACTAGCGGCAGAAGACAATATCTCAATGATCTACCTTGGCTTTACTCGTTGCTATTGGAATCAGACCGGATAAAGAACCAAGCCCGCTCCTTAGTCCACTTATCAACACCAACGAAGAAAAGAAAAAGCAAGGACAGGATCGATCTCAAATGTCTGTTAGCCGGGTCTACTTATTGTGGCTCGCATTAAGCTAAATAGTAAGCCCCATCTATTATGGAGATACTCTCAAACATGAAGAGAATTTATGACAGGTTTCGGACTCCTTATGCAAGAGTGGTAACATCCACAAGTCTCATTGGTTAGCGATGGACTATCTTTGGTGCTAGACCCAGGCTATGGATCCTTCAACGTGCCGGGGAGGACTTTAAGGTCGAAAGCACCGTTTGTTCCACTTCCAGATTACTGGTTCCTGGAAACGTAAACCGGTAGTCAAAGGTCCACACCTCCCCTGAGTCCATATGACATTCCCTATTGAGGGAATGATCAGAGTGAAGAGCAAATACGAAGTACCCGGATAGAACTCAATTTGTCTAACCTGGGGTTTATTTCGGTTACGCAAAAGTACCACGCTCAGGCACAATATCAACTGGGCCAATTTTGAGAAGCAGCAAGGAACCGCAATGCTAGCGGGGATTTCTTCCCTGCGATCTATGACGCGCAAACGGACCCCAAAGACAGACGTACGGAGTAGTGCAGTTGCATGAAGCTTGCTTATTTTGGCCAATCATAAGTCATTAGGAGAACAAGCCATACAATGCTATAGCAAGGGCAGGTATGTCTCGATTTCTCTGATCCACATTCTCTTTTGGGTTGGTTTGATTGCTGATCAGGCCGGGGATTACTCCGAGGTTATGTAGGTAACAGAACATTTTCAACTAGCTATCGGGCGCTCAGGCCAGTTGCATTATTATCAATAACCGAGATGCCGTTTTTTTTCGGGGTATCGCGCCAAGTGAGTCCAGGAGACATCATAAATACTTAATTAGGCCATGGGTTTCGTTCCGAATCAGGGGTTGACAGCTTCCATGTACCTATCAACCTTAATTTTGTGCATAGCCCCTCAAGAAACATGCCATGTTTCATACCAAAAGTTAAGACTTTGTTGACGACAGCGGTAAATTCCCGCTGCCAACGACTTAGTGGATCCAAAAAGCGGGTCATTATACGAATATGTAACGGGCAGTTCGGGTTTCCACGATTTCCTAAGCCGCGGCAATTGTGAGCCTTGTACTCTGTACTCCGTAAAATGTTGTATTCTTGTCAAATAATTTGCATGAGATCAATCAATTTCATTGGACAACACCCAATAGTCGGATTGAGATACCAACCGAGAAATGGCAACGTGCATATTGTTGGTCCCGACTTGTGTTTTCTTTTTTTTGACACAAAATTAGTAAATCCAAACGCCAGCCACGATGTGTCCACAGTTAAAACTATCTAAAATAATAGTGGGGTATTGTTCACACCTCACAACCCGCCTGATAACCAGATGAAGGCCTAAGATTAGAAGAACCGACGATCCCCATGGGCCTAGCCACGCTTTGACACGAGGGCTAAAATAGTCAAACGACGGAACGAAGCTAAAAAAAAAAAATATTCAGTGGTGATTCGAATTCTCTAGAAGAGCCCCTGGTGACACTGAAGAGTCTATGGAGTACGGAGTACAAATGTACACAAGTGCATGCCAAGTACGGAGTAGTAGTCTGTTACCCAGATGGATCAAGGGGGTCTGGGACTAGGTCCACGGGTAGTTCGTAGCCATAATAATACCATTATAGAATCATCAGCCGAAGGTCTCCGGTCCTTTTAATGTCTCTACGATCTCTGTTTGATAGAATACGAACGCAAACGATCCTAAAGTCTGTGGAAACTGTTAGGTTTTTTTAGGTTGTAGGTGAGTTAATTTATTAGTCCCACACCATTCCATCTGCAACAGAACAGCAAGGGCTGAAATTAAAAACCCAAAAAAAATAAGTACTCGACGCTAATACTTTTAGTAGTCGCTCATTCCTTCGTTCCCGGTAATCTGGTGTCGCTTGTGTTTGTTTGTACATAAACTCGTGCATTAATCCTGGTCGTGCAATCGGTTATATTTTACCCCTCCAAGAAAAGAAAGAAAAGACGACAGTAAGGGACTCTTCGAAAATGGAGACCGTGGATCTTGTGGTGGTAGGCGCAGGTAAGTTGAGTCTTGACCGTCGCAAACTATTTCGCTGACATCGGCTACCAATAGGTTGGAGCGGGCTCTCCGCCATCAAGACCTACCGCGAGGTCAATCCCGGCCACAATGTGCTCTTGTTGGAAGCTGCTAGCTCTATTGGCGGAGTATGGGCTAAACACCGTTTGTACAAGGGCCTCAAGTCGAACAATATGCTGGGCACGTATGAGTATAGTGACTTCCCTATGGACGAAGCGACTTTTGGTGTCAAGCCTGGACAGCATATTCCGGGTCATGTAATTCAAAAATACATGGAGGCATATGTACAACACTTTAGCTTTGCCGATTGCATTCAACTAGAACGCCATGTGGAAAGTGCGCGACACAATTCGGACGGAACATGGCAGTTGACCGTGTCGCACGGAGCGGATACCACAATAATCGATACCAAGAAGATGATTGTGGCCACTGGTATCACGTCACAGGCATTCCTGCCTACGTTCAAGGACCAGGAGTCTTTTGGTGCGCCGGTTTTCCACTGTCGCGATCTGCTGCAGTATCAAGATGCAGTGCTCCAATCTGGAGAGCGCGCAACCGTTTTTGGCGGGACCAAGTCGGCCTGGGATGCGGCTTATGCCTGCGCAACGGCAGGTATGAAAGTAGACTGGATCATTCGCGAGTCCGGTCATGGACCTGTTTGGATGGCGCCTCCCTACGTGACGCCCTTGAAAAAGTGGCTGGAAAAGCTGGTCACTACACGTCTGCTGACCTGGTTCAGTCCATGTATCTGGGGAGAGGCTGATGGATATACTGGCGTTCGCAGCTTCTTGCATGGTACCTGGTTGGGTCGTAAGATCGTGGACGCGTTCTGGGCTATTCTGGCCGATGATGTCGTGCAGTTGAATGGATATGACAAGCACCCTGAAACGAAGAAGCTGAAGCCTTGGGTGAGCCCATTCTGGATCGCTTCCTCGCTCAGCATTCTGAACTACCCGACCAATTTCTTTGATTTGGTCAAGGATGGCACTATCAAAGTGCACATCGCTGATCTAGAGCGTCTCTCGGATCACACTGTTCATCTATCCTCGGGCGATGCGCTGCCATCTTCAGCGCTTATCTGCTCGACGGGCTGGCGTTGCACTCCAAACCTCAAGTTCCTGCCAGAGGGTATTGACCGCGAGTTGGGATTCCCTTGGAGTGTGGATCCGCTGAGCGAAAACCTGGTGAAAGAGGCGGATGAGGAGATTTTGCGCCGGTTCCCCCGACTGCGTGATCAACCAAATCCGAACCCCCACTACACCCCGCTAAACGACCAGTCCGAGGCGGCTGTACCGCACCCCTTCCGGCTGGCGAAGTTCATGGTCCCTCTTTCGCTGGTAAAGGAACGCTCTCTGGCATTCATGGGTATCACCATGACCATCAACACAACCCTGATTGCTCAGACCCAGGCACTGTGGATCTCGGCTTATTTCAAGGGCGATCTGACCCCAGCTACACGCGAACGCTGCCCACTCGCTGTGCGTGCTGCGTCTGACCTCAAGACAGAAGACACATCAGAAATCGACCTCGCCTGGGAGACTGCTCTCTTTACTGAATTTGGCAAATATCGCTACCCAGGGGGATTCGGACGGCGCAACCCCGACTTCGTGTTTGACGCGATCCCATATATTGATCTGATGCTGGGGGAACTGGGTCTGTCACCGCAGCGCAAGCGCGGCTCGCTAGCCCGGTGCCTCCAGCCATATGGTCCTGAGGATTACCGGGGTCTAGTCAAAGAGTGGAAATCTAAGCAAAGTACCCAGTAATGTTTCGGGTATTCCCATTTCTTTTATTCTTTTTCGTTTAAATGTCTCATGTTGTCTGATATGTATTATTTTGCCTTCCCATTTTCCTTTGCGCGCCGCACGAGTATCTCGGTTATACTCCCATTTCTTTCTTTAACATAAGTTGGGAACTATTCAAGTCAATAGAATGTGCTTTTCTATACTAATGTGAGTATATCATATGAACATATTACAACTTTCTTTGATAATGCTCATCTTCGGCATCATCTATTCCACCATGACAAATTGCTCCAAAACCGCAACACCAACGAGAGATGAAGAAGAAGACGACTGTGCGTCATGTTCTCTCATTTCTCTTTTTGAGCCACTACCACCACCACCACCACCGTCCTCTTGTGATTGTTGGCTCTCAGACTCAATTACCTCCCCAACCATATCTCCTGTCCATCGCATATAATTTTTTCCACTCTCCGCGACCACCGTTCGCACCGAGATATTAACTTTCAACCGCCCATTTGTCTCTCCGAGATCATATTCTAATCTGAATCCTTCCGGTATATCACCCATGCGAGGCGGATATCGCCCACCAGTAGTTCCCGGACTACCGATCGGTCTCACAGTGAGGATAGAGGGGCCACAGGCCGATATGAGCAGCTCTCCGTCTTTGGCAACGTAGCTGCTCACATATGTGGTGTTAGTTGGGTCGTCAATGGCGAGGTAACTGAACCATACAATCGAGTATGGCCCAAGACGGCCGTGGCCCCAGTACCAGCTTTGGACAGAGTCCGCAAAAGGTCTATCGGACCAATTCTATAAACTTGGTCAGGTAAAGTTTCTCAATGTCGCTACCCGCGGTCAAATCACATACTTTGTCATGGTAACCAGGTCCTCGGAACTTCAGCGCCGATCCATGGATCTTCATGTCGACCTCACCCACGGCGTCGGGTACAAGATTAACCCATCCAATATGAGGCGCAATCTCAAGTGCAGTCCGTTCCGCTTGAACCCCACAGGGTAGATGACGCGGTACTTGCTTTTGGGCAAAGTCAGCAAGCTGTCTGCTCTGCTTTTCGAATCACTACTTACGGAAGTCAGGGTAAGTCGCCCTTCGACCTGGAGCTCCTCAGATGAGATGATAATCTCATACTGATATAGATCTTCTGTGAGAGCAGCCCAGCTAAACCCTGTGGAGGACCACTCGCCAGAGCTATTAGTGCCGGCGCCGTCTGCGCCAGTCACCGTTGCCACAGTTGCCGGGACCGAGTTGGAAAAGACGGCGCCGTTGGCAAACGAAGCCCATAACCAAACATTAAGCACGGAGGTTTCATTCGGGGTAAGGAATGGAAATGCTTCCGCAGACGAGGAGAAGAACGTGACGACTAGGGAATCATCTGGGTTGGTTTCCGAGACGGCATCGAAATACCACCAGTCAAACAAGGAGCTATTGATTAGATCTACCTGAGGTGCATCTAATCGGAAGAGGCTCTCTATATTAAGAGTGGTTGCTGGTGTTGAGATGTCAAACTGAGCCTTGCTAGTTCCATTTTGTACAGCGCTGGGGATCTTATAGCTCCCACTGCGAGAGTCCCTGCCAGCACGGAGGAGACCTGGCAAGGGTTTCTCGTTGGCCCTATGCTGACTAGGGAATGCTAGGGTCTGCTGTGCTAGCAGGGCACACACCAAGAGTAGGGGAAACATGATGATATACATCTAGAGATGCTACTCAATGATAGGTCTCAACAGCGGAAGAATGATTGTGCATTCACCACAATTGGAGGGGAATAGATGTAGAGAGAGGAAGAGAGAGAGAAACGAAGTGGGATATCTGACTTGCATATGGTGCCAGGATGCAGCTTAGCCGACTCCATTGGGGCCTCGACCACCCAACAAATATACAGCAAAAGGGGGCAATGTAACGGTATCCTGCGGAGAATCGAATCAAAGTATAATTTTAATAGTTTCCATCCAAGATCAAAGAGAGATGGCGATCCTCTACTTGTAGAGAGGCTCGTTCCTTGGTTTCGTGATGGGTCAACACAATGATACCTATTTCAGACTACAATGGGAATATATTCCGTTTTCCCGAAAACACAAAAATAGGAGGTCATAAGATATATCCCAAGAAATTCAAATCCATCTTAATACCTAGACTGACCCATTACCCCGTTGTTTCATTAGAATAAGACAGCCATGTGGCTCCCCAGCAAGTGGCTGAGATGGGGTTCAGCCAAACCAGCCACCTGGGCATAGGTCTGACAAACTCTATAGGCAAACAGGTAATCAGCCAATAACGGTTGAGTAACAAAACGTGGCTTGCAAGCTGTTTTATTCCATAGATCAAGACGATTAATATACTTTGATTGGATTTGCTCGGGATATCTTCCATATCATAATTGATGCAGTGTTTATATACCGACGTTGCCCATCCCATTAACAGTTCGCTTAATCGCTTTAAATCACAGAGAAGCAGGATAGGTACACACGTCACACATGAGTCCGATAAGCACATATGGTAAACATAAATCCGGACAGAAGAAGAAGAAAAAAAAAAGGGGGATAAAAAAAGCAGAGATCAGACCTTCCCATGATGCCCAAATCACAAACCCTTCGCCGAAGCTCAAAAAAAATAATATAAATCAAAGTAAAACCCGGTAGGAACCCCGACTCCCAATGCCTCGGTAGATACATACAATGTCTTCGAAATCCACCCGCATAAATATGTGGATGAACGTTCGGTGGGGGAGTTACGTCGCAGTAAGGACGAAAGTGTCACAGGGAAGACCAGAACACGGTTCAAACTCGTCCATTAAGGAGGGGGCTGCCGTCTTCACTCCGCCCTTCACCCTTAATATCGGCCCCAACTTGATTGCTGTTCGCGTCCGATTCTCCGTCCTTTCCACAACCCTTCACAAGGATATGTCGCTATCGGGAGAAAGTCAGTATGCGGCAATTGTTACACAAGATCACAGATACATACCTTAAGAGCATCCTTGCGCGAGAAGCTCTTGTCACAGTGCGAGCAGGGGAAAGGCTTCACGGCCAAATGAATGCGCTTGTGGCGTTTGAGGTCGTGATTGCGGTTGAAACTCTGGGGACATTGGTCACATTTGAAAGGTCGGTCCGCCGCGGGGGCGGACATGCCGTGCGGTGGTGGATGGCCCCCATATAGATGTTGAGAGCTGGCAACATGTCCACTGTTGAATCCCGGTAGAAGCCCGGGTTGCATTCCACCCATCATCGACATGGGTCCACCGGGACTGTGTACATTGGTCATGACGGGACCGTTCATCGCCGGGAGAGAATATGAGGGCCAGGGCTGACGGGGATACCCCAACGGGGGCTGTCCTGCTGATGGACTGTGAACAGACATTCGCCCTGGAGGGTGGATGCCAAGCCCTGCAGGGCCATACATGGGAGAGAAACCGGCCTGGTGGGGACTGTGCATGGGAGGAGAAGCGGCATACATATGCTGGTGTTTGGGTGCATATGGATCGTTGGATGGCAGTGGGGCGGGAGATGTAGCGGGTCCACCATGGTACATCATGGCAGGTTGTGAAGCGGAGGGAGGCATGGTTGACGGGGCGGGTAAAGCTTGATAAGATAATGTCGGGGCTTCATATGGGTGCGGCAACCCATCCGTCGTCGGTGGTGATATTACCGATGACCGTTGCATACCGGACGGTGAGAAGGAACTTCGGGCTGAGTATTGGTTTACCCCGGACGCCCAGGGCTGTCCATATGGATTGGCCCCTGACCAATATGCCGGTGGGAGCTCGGAGGACGCGCCGGTTGATGTTGCCAAGGGTTGGGGTGTGGCGTGCTCCCCTGTTTGAATTGTGGCGGGTGGCGTTAGAAGGTTCCCCACGCTCACATTCACTGGCGCGTGGGAGACTGGGGGGTGGGTGGAATGTCCGGCGTACTTGGGTGGTGCCGCCGCGGCCGGACCCAACGTGAACGGTGGTGGTGGGAGCTCAAAGCTAGGTAACGTTGGAGCCGCTGGACGACGAATGTTCAACGGCGGGGCTGACAGCGCGTCTAACGCTGTCCCCATTCCCGCCGGTACTGCTAGGGTCGCCAGATTTGCGGATGGATCCCTCACTCCTACGTAAAATTCGGGGTCGTTGATGTTGGTGAGCTGGCCAAAAGATGATCCGCTCAAAGCCCAATCTCGATCGCCAGGTACGCCCCCGGAAGGGCTGGTAGAATCCAGGAGGGGCGATGTCGATCGCTGGGGCTCGCGATCGAAATATAGAGAGAGTCGAAGGACTCAAGTTCTCTCGAGAAATAGGGGAATTTCCGGAAGGACTAGAGAACTCTTGAAACAAAGCGAAATTAACAAAATAGATCCGAAAGATGGATTGAAAAAGTGAGATTATCACGGTCGACGAAAGCGCGTGTAGTACATGGTCTCGGGGAGAAATGAGGAGAAGTTGAAACACTAAAAGAAGTGAAGCTGAGAGGAAGAAAGATGTGGNGGGGGGGGGGGGGGGGGGGTGGGCAAAGGACCGTGGCGTTGGAGGCGATAGCAAGCGCGGGGGAAGTATTATAATAAAAAGAGTCAGGAGTTATAACGAAAGTCAAGAAAAGTAAATAAGATTGATTTTTCTCGGGGAATGGAGTCGACACGGGTCTAGCCAGGTTGGCTACCGTGGGGAAAGGAATGGTATAATAAAACAGAACTCCATCAAAAAGAGAGAAAAAAGGCGAAAAAAAGGGCGAAACAGGCGAAAAACACAGAAAACAAGAGGGGGGTCAGCAGAGAACGTGGTTGACAGCTAAGAAACCCATCGGTTGGTTGTTCCGAATTGTTGACTTTTAGGGGGATTTTTTTTCGATTTCTCTTTCATTTTGATATCTGTGGATATAATATCATATCGCATATAATCTCATATAATATCTATATGTGACTATTTGGTTTATTGGGTCTTTTAATCTTCTTGTTTTCTGTCAATACTACCTCTATAATTAAATAACTCACTCAAAATATGTATACAGAGAGTACTCCGTACCTACTCTATAACTAGAAAATAATTTTTAAAAAAAAAGACCCTTCTTCCTCGAGGGAAATCCCTTGCGTCCGGACTGATCGCGTGAAAAAAGGGCGCTAGTGTAGGGACTCCGGAGAGAACCTGTGCTAACAGGAATGGACCCGGCTATTATTGAGAGAAAGAAAGAAATTTCTAATTTTTTTTAAATAAAAAAAAGGGAAAAAAAAAGAAAATATCAGTAAAAATGATAAAATGATAAAATAGTGAAATGGATCCATACTTTTTTTCTACTATCACAATAGGATTCCTGTCCAATAAGGAGACCAAGATGTCCACGCACGGACAAGACCGGAATGGCCAGAATACGAGAAGACCGTAGAGAAGGCAGAGGGAAGCGAGCTGTCTGACCGGCCATTCGTTAGTTTTAAAAAACATGATCGCGCAATCTAGTTAGTCTTCTTTTTTTAATTTTTGATCTTTTTTGTTCATCTTTTTATTCCATTTTCCCTATAATATACAACCTACTTAGGCCAGAGGTATATTGTAGACCATACTACGGAGTATGTTGTACTCCGTACGGAGTACTCCGTGCTTCAGACTATAATCTATGTCTCTGATGGTCATCTGCACTTTTTTCTTTTTCCTTTTTAGCCCCCATTAGCCCAAGTAGAAGGTCGATTTGATTGGTCCCCCGGGTTCACCGGCCATGGTAGCTCCTTTCGCTTCCTCTTTTTTTTCGCTTTTGTTACTTTCCAAGGTTGGCTCGGGCCTTAAAAAGGTCAACTTAACATAACCCGTTATTCTCTCAGTCCCCGAAAGCCAATCGCCTCCAGCATCCACTCTCTCGGGTTTCCCTCATATGTTGTACGATCTAAGTAATATTGTAGGTTGGGTGGCGGAATGCCAATGAAACGGGTCTCGAGCACTCCACACGAGAACCTCGCTTGGGTCCCGAAAGATATCTTATCCTCCAATCAACCAACAGAGGCATCTCTTTCGTTGCCTTCTGCACGGACGTGGCAGATGCTTATGTAGGGGAAAAGGGGGGGAGGGAGGGCATGCCCTGTCGATCGATGTCTATCATTGTAGTATGTGCTCCCTACCCCGTACATAGCTAAACCAAATATAAAACTTGACAGAGCTGATCTGCCGCAAACTAATTATCACATGGTTTAAAGATATGTGCCGAGTACTCCATGGAGGCTGGTAACTCCCTCTACCTATGCATAGGATGCTCGGATAGCTGAAGCTCCTTGGCACAGCTTAGACATGTCCACTGGCGCATGGGATTTAATATTACGATCCAGTCCGCATTTCCCCCGTATTTAGTACTCCGTAGCAAGCTAGGCTTCAAAACCTGCAGTGCTCACAAAAGCAAAAAAAAAAAGAGAAAGAAATAGGAGAAGGGGGGAAAAAAAGAAAAGAAAAGGGGGGCAAGTCTTAGACATGCGAGAGGTAGGCGAGTCACATTCTTGAGAACTGCATACCTCTACCCTAGCTGTGTTTCGTGAGTGACAGACACGGCATTTCTCCCAAGTGGTACATTCTATACATTCTATGCGGTATACTAACATTCACTAGACACCCCGATTTGTCTTGGACGCTGAAATAGAGTCGACAAAATCGATAGCGCTCACATCCCTCCACCGCGTCTGTAGCCGCACATCGCCTACCCAAAAAGGTTCATCTCACCGACGATCAGTTGATCATCAACCATCTATGGCCCCTCTCCTATGCTAGGTTCCCACTTGATCGACCTCGCACAGCCTTTTCTCGATTTGCAGGTGCAATCCCTGGACCACACTATGCTACGGTTCGCAGCCGATTAGTCGCTCCTCTCATGCAAGGCGGCTCCTAAGTACTGTCCAGATGTGACAGCGCGCAAGGATCCACCTGGTTGGGTTTGAACGCCTTAGTGCCGCCTGCATCGGCTCTTGCCGATGTGGCTTCGGTGAGGCTCACGGTTGGCGTTCACGATCGTCCTCGGGAATGGCGTTTCGTGGAAGGATGACTATTTTTTGCTCACGGGAGATCTGCGGCCATGAGTTTGCTGCAGGGCGGATGGGTATGTCCCGGCCTATGTGGATTTCAGAGCCCACATTTTGCCTGCGAACCTTTCCAACGTGTCTGGGCTATTTCTGTATATCGACTATAATCTGCTAATATATGGGTCTCACACTCAACAAAGGTAATAGAGCACGGATCTCTCTTTCTGTTCCAAGGTTAGTCTAGAATCCCAAGCTAGAGCCTCTCTGTCTCGGCAATTATTTTTTGGGAATTTAGTTTTATTTCTTTTTTCTTTTTTTTTCGCCTCTCGATGAGAACAGCCCCACGAGCATCTTTCGGTCGCTGTAAGATCCTCCCTTGCGGCAATATTCTGACAGTGCTTGCATTGTATTGCCTTGGAGGTAAGAATTAAGAAGAGACGTCAACTTTCTCTCGCATCGTGTTGTTCTATTTATCATGAAAATTTGACCGATTTGATTTCCTGTATTTATCACTCTTGGGCTCTCATCAAGCTCATAAAGCTAGATGTTCGGTATGACATTTTCTGCGGTGAAACCCCTGAGTGCATAAATGCTGTGGTCTCATCAAGACCCAGTGATGTTTGTGATACTTCTTCGCTTTAGTTTACTGCAGGAAATCACATTATCAAATTCTATGAGTCTTTCGCTATGTTGTACAACATACACAGGCTCACCCAGTACCCCGGTTTTCGAAAATTTTTATCTCAGTAGAACGTCTAGTTCAAATTTCATTGTAAATCGTTTGTGCTACCTATTTGTCTGCTCACGTTGATATAAATGGCATATAACCTCGGTTGTGGTTAGACCAATATATATATCCACATAAATCACCCGATCGCGTTAATAGCCGACCAAACAGACTAAACAGAGCAGTTTTGGAAATCAAGCCATCAAGAGACCGAGGACAACCAAACAGAAAACGAGCCAAATAGCCTTGAGATTTCCTAGTTGCACCGGGTTGCATCTCCTTGAATTGCCGAGTGTTGCTCCGATGACGTCGAACGGCGGGGTAGAGCACTCCAATGATTTTTCCGCTTTGCGTTTCGAGTCCCCTTTCTACCTCCAGACCTACTTTCTTCAACTTCGCTTTTGATTCAGAACTCAATTGAAGCTTGTATGTACATCTCTAGTCCTGGTTACCCCCAAACGAAATAGAGACCATTTCTGACCTTCCGAAGACCGTTGCTTGCAAATACCACTTTACCACACCCCTTTCCATTCCAAGCTTGTTTCTTTACAACCATGTCTGGAATCAGTAAAGCCTGTTGCTCGTTCGTGGTCCCTACATCCATTGCATTCTGTGATGGCTCAATTACTCGTCGCTGACCATCCCCGTGCACAGAATCCCCCCTGTTGTATCCAAGGGCTACCAGCCCAAGGGTGAATACAAGACCATCAATGGCCTGAAGACTTGTGTGTTCTTACTTTCGCTGAACTCCTACGATTAAGCTAATGAGATCACTTCTAGACGTCACCGGCCCCGAATCGGCCACCAAGGCTATCTTGGTCGTGTATGGTCAGTCACTCATCTCCCCATGAGGAATGCACCACGACCATTCACTGATACAGTTGCGTGATATGCAGACATCTTCGGCTTCTTCGACCAGACCATCCAGGGTGCCGACATCCTCGCTACGTCGACCGACCAGAAATACCGCGTGTTCATTCCCGACTTCTTCGAGGGCAGCCCCGCCGACATCTCGTGGTATCCCCCTACCACCCAGGAGCACAAGGAGAAGCTAGGTCACTTCTTCTCAACTAAGGCCGCGCCACCCAAAACCCTCTCCAAGATCCCCAATGTCGTCGCCGAAGGCAACAAGCTAGCCCCTGGCGGCAACTTCCAGTCCTGGTCGATCCTAGGCTTCTGCTGGGGCGGCAAGATCGCTTCACTGTCCTCCGGCGCTGATAACAAACTGTTCAAGGCGGCCGTGCAGTGCCACCCGGCTATGGTGGACGCCAATGACGCAAAGGCCGTGAACATCCCCATGGCGTTGCTCGCCTCAAAAGATGAACCCGCCCAAGACGTCAAGGACTTCGAGGCCAACTTGAAGGGGCCCAAGTACGTTGAGACCTTCCCAACTCAGATTCATGGCTGGATGGCTGCGCGATCGGATCTGGAGAGCCCCGAGGTGCGCAAGGAGTACGAGCGTGGATACAAGACCGTTCTCGAATTCTTCCACCAGCATTCGTAAGAAAAACAAAAAAGGATGCAATCGATGGGGAGTACCTTACCGCGGAAGTTTGATGATATTATGAGAACTGGATTTTCTAATGAGAGAATGAGAGAAATTATGATCAGTCCTGCATGGACAAAAAAAAAGTACCTTCCTATGTACACATAAATTCCTTCTGGTGTATGCAAAACAAGGATAAGCCCTCTAGCTTTAATATAAATTTGAGGCTCTTATGTCGCTTTCGCTTGAAATCAGATACCGAGAAGTATATAAAGAAGTTTGTTTTAGTTTGCTGTTTTGTCTAAAAAGATGTACAAACATACAACGTAGATAAGATGGATGGTATGATGCTCGCCGCGTCCATAAGACGTCATCACTTTCCAAATCTCAGCCTAACCTCCCTAACCTCCCTGCTTCTTTATTTTTTTTTGATACCAGATTCTGGGATTCATTAATTCATCTCATCATCATTTGTGCATGTACGGAAAAATTCGGCTCTCACCCACTTGCCGCATTGCCGTTTCCAGGATCATCTCACGAGCCGAGGAGCCGAGATCAGCACTTAAGAGTATAGTTCTTAATATCTCGGATTTCTATTTCTTAATCTTTTGTTTTCCTGGGACATTTGATTTATTTAGAAGTTGCAATACTCGCACCCTTATGGGTTCTGATGTCTTTCCTATTTGGCCGACGTCGTTCCTCAGATGCAGCTTCCACTGCCCAGAATGAGTTTAATGCACTCAAGCGGTCACCATCACAACGCCATACTCCCGAGTATCACGAAGATGACCAAACCAACAACGGGGCATTCCGAAGTCTATTTCGAAGGCACAGCGGTAGTTCGGACACACGTCCTTCAACCGCAACACAAGTAAGAATGTCTATTTTGTCGTTATAACAACCAGCTCATGGCGAAAAAGGAAAAAGAACAGTCGCGTTTAACTGAGGCGAACGCGCTACCAAAATTACGACGAGTGAGTAGTGGCCAGCGAGATGACAACAAAGATCCTCCTGGCTCCCCTAGGCGCGACTCTCCCACAGCAGGGGCACACTGTGAGCCAGCGCAACCTGGAAATATCTATGATCATCTCGAATCCAGACTGGAGATGGCGACCAAACATAAAGACAAGTCGCCTGCTGCCAACCATGTCCCACCAGAGGAATCAAAACTCACGACGAAAGACATCAAGGCAATGTTGTCTGGGGCACCCCACTTTCTTCTGGAGAAGGGCAAGCATGGTCGATGGTATCCCGAGGTGATATTCCCCTGGGATGAGCAGAACTCAGTAATCCAACATATGTGGGATCGCAAGCCACTGCCCCATGCATCCTTCACTCTGAGCACACTTCACGCTCATCTGCCGCTCCCAGACGACTGGGCTATCAAAGGCGGCGTTCCGACCCAAGCTCTTGACTGGCGCCGAATAGGCGCTGTCAACAGGGCAACGTTTGACGTTGGGATCTTCGAAGTACCGAACATGTTGTCCAATAATGGCAAAGAACCTGGCACCGTCGGTTTCCGGCACTTTCTTGAATTACCTGTGGCGGACGCGATCCGATATACTGGCCCCGAAACCCCAAGGAAACCTCCATACTTACAACAAGTCTCAACCATGGCGGCAACGGAGGCGTTTAATATAATGGAGGGATACAACAAACCGTATTCGCAGTGTCAAAGTGGTGCCGTGTACGATCGACATAAGCTCATTTGCGGGGGCCCCGAGGCCTGGAAGCGCATTGGAGTACGAGATATCAACATGCGATCTCTGGTGCAACGTTTAGACTATCTGCGCAAGTACCGACATGAAATGCTCACGGAGGGATCAACGAAGACAATCCTGGATATTGAAAGCCCGCGCGAGTTGCACGACATTTTACACACTCAATTCCTTCACCCTCGCCCTCCACCTGCCGACATCATAGGGGGTCATCCGCAAAGCGTCAAATCCCAGATCAAAACTTTGGCAATCGTGCTGGCCACCCCCGGAGCATGGATCAATTTCAGTCTCCCAGAATGGCGCTTTCGGGCAGGGCAGGTCCTATGGGAGGTATCCCTGCATGGCGATGGGGACTGTCTGGACCCCGGTTCAAGTAATGAAAAGGTGCCGCGGGATGTTTTGATCAAGTCCGGGATGGAGCGAAAGTGGTTGCTGATCCAGATGCTCCTCTCTGCCGAGTTGCTTCTTCGCTTGGACGCGTTCGTGCGAGTTGGCATGTTGCATGATCCGCACGGCGGTCATATCACGATTCATGAGCTTGTACAGTTCGAGAATTTGCGAGAAGGCAAGCTGAATTGGGATCTGGTTGTTGTGCGCCGGTTCCTCAACAGTCTGCATATCACTTGCCCGTCGCCACAATCAGGGCCATCTCCGGGTGGCTCAGCCACCAAGCCGCCTGGGAAAAGCCATCGGTTCTCACTGCTTGAGAGCATCGCTCGGCATAGCTCGCCTGTTGCGGATCTACAGTCTGCCTGGGACTGTGAACTGAGCTCTTCGCACGTTCGGCAGCAGCTGGAGGGTCTGTATGTCTTCGCAGAAAACATTGGATGGCCAAAATTGGCTGCACTGAGAGCTACCATGGAGCTCAAACTTGGAGATCCTAACAATCCGGTTCTGCCTGCCTTAGTCGTTGATGACAGGTGGGGACGGGAAAAGATATCCAAGGAGATGTTACTGGCCAAGGAGGATATGTACGCACGAAGCCCCTGCCGACGACGCGTCAAGCTTTGTAGCTCTGGCGATCCACAGTCTAAAAATTTAGGCTGGATCTCGCGCTCCTTGCTCTCCGGGTTCGTGATACCCGGAGAGGCGATTAGTCACCTTCTCATGGCGACACTGCTTGAGAACGACGCAGATGCACTGGATAAACTGGGCTCAATTGCCAACCTCTATGGAGGGTTCGTTTATGGAGAACGGAGTTGGTGGAGTAAAGCATGCGTGGTCGGACGTGTCCTGTCCTGTTCAAAGGGAGCTAAGACGTGCATGGGGTGGATCAGCAGCGACATGATGCCCCGCGATGAGATTACGCGGGAATTATTCAAGTGTGGATGGCTTGAACTCCCGGTTGAAGAGGTTCCGCAGATCTCGAGCAGGCCTCGAATCAAGCAAGGAGCTAAGCTTGTGCTGGAATCGTCACCGCTAGGCATGGGAGACATCACAGCGAAAGCCTTTACACTCCCAACGGATAATCCAGAGACAAGTGCGATACACACTATCACTATCGAAGGGTTGACTTTGTCAGTCAATGATTACAAGCCCCCCAATAGCAACGGCATTACACCTGCTAAGGCATCCATGTCGTTCGCGATCAAAGATGCGGATAGTGCTGGAGTTTCAACTACGGTTTGTTTCCCCCTCAAGTATAATGTGCGCTTTATCTCCGCCCACGAGTGCTGTCCACCGTTGGGGGTCGTTTCTCACAAGTCATCCGACCGCGAGAAAGATGAGCCCCAGCAGCCTACGAGGCCCGTTTCCAAGTACACGCGTCTACCAGGCCATCCTCTGCACAACTCTTATCGATACAAGTATGTTTCGTTGGACTCCCTCTCCTCCACCTCAGCGCCGCAATCGACATTGTCGCAAGGCCCAGAGGCAGCTCAAGCGCCGGAGATTCTTGTCATCGACGCGCGGGGCAGCCGAGACAGGGAAACATTCGCTCGGGCGTGGTGTGCTGCTGTTGGGTGCCATGCGATAATAAGTCGGTCCGGGGAAACTCGTGTGACATGTTGTGTCGCATGTTCAATAAGGCAAGCGAGAGCCATTGATGTAATGGTTGTGGTGCGTATAAGCGAATGAGGTGGGATTTCGCAAATGAATAGAATTGCGCATGCTGCTATTTCTGGAAGCCGAATTTGGGGGCTGGACGGGGTAAATGAGCCCGAAACACGACAGGCTATAATCGCGCAAACTGGGGGCATTGTATCTCCATGCCTGTGTACAATGTAGAATAAGTCTGCGGATATTAGCTCCTTTTTGGGACTAGAAAAAGCCTTCGGCAGCTTCAACGGCTTTCTCTTCGGAGGAGCCGTGGGGGAGGGAGAAACCCAAGCCTGTCAAGAAGGGGGCCTCGCCATCGGAGAAAGTTAGAATAGTGAATACCACCTTCCTCTTCTCCATCAGCTAAAAACAAAATAAAAATAAAATAAAAACGCCGCAAATCATGATAGGGGCAAAATGAAGAGAGGAATGGGGTTTTTCTTGGGAGGACGCGTAAGGCAGGTTGCAGGTTAAAAAGGGTGACCCTCCCCCTTGAGGCAGCCGACGACCGAATGAAGCCAAGGGCCCCGAGGATGGTGAAACAACCGGACCAAAGCTGAAAGACCAGTAAGGTCCCTGCATTGCTGGTCCACAGGGAGATCTCCGATCTCAAACTCCGTACGGAGTCTCCGTACGGAGTTTTGTTACTATATATATTGTAGGGAGTAGGGAGTACGGAGTAGGGGAAGTATACTTTTGGATTAGAGGTATAACCCTAATTGCATTATATTGCACCCTGAGATCATATCACATCATCTCAGAGTTCTTACATATTAGATCATATCATCTTATCATCTGCATAACGTATGCATCCGTATATGCATGTTGTATGGAGGTGCCTTGGGTAACTGAAGGCTTGTTACCAAAACTCCCTAGGGGATGTAAGGCCTACGGAGTAGACATTCCAAAATAGCACCAACCCCGAAAGTATGCCACGCGACAGACCATCCTAGTAAAAAAAAAATACCATCGGATAAGCAGTTTCCCAAAGAGCGATCATCATAACACGCCTAATGCCTCATAGGGTATACCTGCACGCCACTGCGGAGCCCGGCAGTTGGGATTTGGCAGGGGCTTTGCCTACTAATCCCAGAAGGGAATAGTTAGGGACATTTCTGGAATTGTCCTCCGTACAATAAAAAAACAAGATTAAACATGTACCCAAGTAGACTAGTATAGACGTGGTTAAGCGACTTCTTAGAATGCAAAGATTGTTCTACTTCTATCCACATGTGTTTATTCTTGGCTAAGATTAACAAGATCTGGCTCAGCCCTGGACTGGACCCTTGTTTCAGTTTAAACAATTGGCCGATCGACAACGACGCGAGGCCCGTTGGGGCTTTACGCTAATTGCGTTCAAGTGAACCTGGTTACGGACCTTACGACATAGTTACTGCTAGAATGCTACAACTTTATGTTGTAAATTTATGTTGTATAACTACCATATGCTATCTACACTCGTACATATATTGATTTTATGCTTGCGGAGTCGCCGACCTCGCACTACTACGAGATCTATCCCATTTTAACATTCACCGCGTCACGATACATGCGCTGGTTGTTCAGCTACACATACACCTCAACTCCAGATAGTCTTTGTCGCGATACCCAATAGTATCGGCTGTTGCGCATTTCCCAAGACCCGTGCTTGTCGATCTTCGACCAGAGTGTGCTAAGTTGCGGGGCCAGAGCGTGGGCAGTATGTACAGCAACAATTTGTCGTTTTTCTTCGCAAAATGGCGGTAAAACCATCCCCTTGGGCTCAAAATCTCGATGCTAAAGCATATAGTTTACATTGTACATTAGAGTCTCCTGGTAGGTTGTACAAAGTACGTTGTAGGAGTGGCTTGGAGAGCACGAGAGTATGCCGAGTACGGTGATCGGTGGCGTTTATTGGCCTTGAGGGGTTGTTTTGACGTGATACACCATACCATAGTATGAAGATCATCGTCCACTCCAGTCCACTTCGTACCAGGACAGTATATTCTCCAAGCCACGCCAGGTTTGACACGTTTTCCTCTTCGGTTTAACCGGTGGGAGTCTAATAGCCACCCCCTTTTCTCCCCCCCCCTCTTGTGTGCCCGAAGAAGTAACATTATACTTTATGGGTAGAATAAGCACCAATTCCCCGTTATTTCTCCATTCAAACCTAGAATATTTCCTTCCATAAGACTCCATAGAAGCTGAGACAGAAGGAAAAAACCCCGAGATGAGCCCCATACGAATGCCAAGACCAACCTGTAACACGCTACCACAGTAAAGACGATCCTTAATCAAACCTTGACCTGCCCCACGCAGAGTTTGTGAGATCGCTTGCACTTCGCAGTATGTTACCCTACCATGTACTCCGTATATTATATTATATTATATTATTTGTGCGTAGTTGTGTTTTAAGGCTTTCGGACGGTTATCCTACTTGGGTGTAGTTCAGGGCTGTGTAGATGCAGATTGATGTCTATTGGGTTTCAAAGTACAATGTTAATATTTTATTGTGTTAGAATCAAATCTTAAGGGCCACGTACGTGTTTCTAGAAGTGTGCCCCAGATACGCCATCATAAACGTTGAAACACGCAGATTGTCCTATTAGCATTAGATGTATAATTAGGTAAAGACTTTTCATTCCAAGGTACTACTCCGTACATTGTGGTTGGATCCATGCAGAAAGGTCCGTGGTCATTGATTGGTCCACTTAGTCCCATCGATCCTTTTGACGGTTTTCCTTTCTTTCTTTTTTTTTTTTCCGGGTAAAGATGCCAGCCAAATAAGGAATTGAAGTTACTTGGAAAAAGGGGCAAAACCAAAACTACAGATATTATTATAATAATATCCTTTTTAGACCAAAATAAAGGTTATATTAAACAAACTACAAATCCTAAAATAAAAAAACGAAACCGGATTTAAAACAATAAAAACTATGTTGTAATAGCCTGATACACATTGACCGTGGACCCTGAATCTGTTTTTAGCACAAATTAACCGATGGTTCGTTTCAGTTCATATAATGTTACGGAGTAGAATCATCGGGTATAGTGGGATTTCTAGTCTTCCAGAAGGCCATGTGGTCAATAGTCCTTAGATCGAGCTGCACTGTACCCCTTCGAGAAGCCCTCTAGCTTTATAGGGATCAGCCTCTGAAATGACCAGACACAGAAGGTTCTTTTTGATGGACCCCCAAATCAACAAGTCTATTGGTTCTAGGTGCCGACCTAAGCTCGCGTCACCAATCACTTATTTGGGACTTGAAGGAAATATTCCCCAGTTCATCGATGATTGACAGGTATCCTTGTTGGCCCTAAACCTAACTGGTATTGAACACTTTGAGCGGCCATCATCCAACATCCACACATCCCCACTGTTGTCAGGGCTCCCAGACCATGGTTCCTCGTCTGTACTTCATTTGAAGAACCGGGTCTATAGTACGCAATCAGGGGGCATTGGCAAGTTACCTAATCATCCAAGGACCAATCTGATGGTAACAGGATTTAAAATAAGGAACTACATAGGCCAAAAAAAAAGTGATGATGAGAGAAAAAAGAGACTAAAAAGGGAAAACTTTGTAGAAAACAAGAAATACTCTCCATCCAAGAGTAAAGTCTGCGATACACTAACGTAGTAAATCTAGAGCATTAAGGGAAGTTGTCCGCGGACCCCTGAACTGATCATCCATTGACAATGACCTGCAGTTGATTTGGGCTAAGTCGATACATCCGTGTTAGTCTTAGTTGGTATGAGAGCCACCTTGTTCCACGTACGGCGTGATATACATACTTGTGAAAATTAAATTAAACCAAAAATCTCCCAAAAAAACTCTCTCTTTAAAAAAAAAAAAAAAAATAACAAAAAGACCTTTGGGCGTTTCACCCCGCGATTAGCTTCTACCTGTTGGACTATACCTACCATCTTCGATCTGCTCTTCTTCTCTTCACACCGTTCACTTCATATTCGCTCCTTTGAATACCCTATTTTTCTTTTCTTTTTTCCCTTCTCCCTTTTCTTACTAATCTCTTTTTGGTTATTATCGTTTGACTTGTCCCCCTAGTGTGGTTTCTTCCTCGATCTCAAACTGGGCTACAATAAACTTCTAGGCCCTATCACCGTCCAAATCCCCGGCATTCTACAAACACTTTAATCACTATAATTATCCTTGATTAATTCGCAATTACTGGACTTGGGAATTTGGGACCTCCGAAGCTGGAATCCAATCTATCCTCGGCCATTCTATTGCAAGATTACCTCTATACTTTGAGACACACGGCGGGCCCTAACATACGCCCAACATCCTCGCTCTGAAACGCGCGCAATATCAGACCTGATCCAGTGTGGCGTATGTGGACCAGAGCCCGGGAATTGAAGCAGCGTCATCCTCTGGAGGCACTCCTCGGTCATATTCTCTCCGCAGTGTCTGTATGGCCTTGCGCGGATTCTTGTCGCATTCATCTTTGATCACGCCTCGAGGAACTCTCAGCCAGTTGCTTCAAAAGCACACCTTTCGCTTCGCCAGGGCCGTTGATGCACCTTCGACCGACACACCGACAGAATAGTGCTCGTGGGAGCTATGCCCATAGCTGTCGACCAGATGGCATCAACAGCAAATTCACAAAGCGTTATGGACGCAAATGACAAGAAGCGCAATAAGTTAGGATATCATCGAACCTCTGTCGCATGTGGTCAGTAATGAATCCCAAGCACCCATCGCCCTTTTTGCTTGTCGCCTTTCTTTCTCTGTCGTTTTCGCAGTGCGAAAGTGCGTCGATCAGGAGGAAATGAACAACCCCTCTCGAGGATGGGGTATTTGCATGTGATAATCTTACTTATACCTTTACAGTGCACTGCCGACGACGAAAGATCCGATGTCTTGTAGCGCCAGATGACACGGAAGGACGATGTGAGAACTGCATTCGATTGAGAAAGGACTGTCAGTTTTTTCCAGTGGACCAACAACCACCGATTGAAAAGAAATCACGACCAAATTCGAGATTGGAGACACCCTCAACCGAGCGCTCAAATACCACACCGATTGCTTCCTCTCCGACTAATTTGATGGCCGACCCCGCCGAGACTTTCTACCCATACCAGACTATGCCAATGAACACGTCCGCGCAGGACATGTCAACGTACAACGTTGGAATGGTTCAAGCCAACATGAGTCTAACGCCAGGTAGGTTTAGATAATCGTCTCTGCACTGCAATCAAGACGCATTCGTTGACTGATTAATTCGAACTAGACCGACCCATGGGACCAGGAGACTTTGCTGGACATCAACCGATGGACCCGGGGGTCGCATGGGACGAATTTACGACAATCGCGGACCCGCAGCTGTTGAATACAATGGCAGCCGGAAAGGGTCAGATGATGAATATGTCACCCAACTTATGGAATCCCGGGAGCATACACTCAGGCCTGCCGCCCCCTTCGCCGATATCCGCGGCATCTTCAATGGGAGGCCCAGCGCAGCCTATGGGCCAGACAGCATACGCTATGCAGCCAGACGGAACAGTTTGGCAGGTCCCGCAGCCACCACCACGAACCATGAGCTATCCTGGGCAGGACATGGGATCATCATACCCTAATCAATTTCACCCACAAATGCCCACGGAGCTCAAACGGAGAATGACTACACCCGCACAATCCCTGTCTGCCACGAGTGCCATGGCCATGGCCCCGCAAGGCTCGCCAGGCACGCCTGAGATGCACACACCAGGGTCAGTCTCATACCCACCAGGAATGAGCTACCCGCAATGGCAGGATATGAGTGCCATGTCTGGAATGGGCGTGGTGCCGTATCCTATGTACCCCGGCGACGCAGTTCCACACCATGCATACCCGCCTAATCCTGCTTCGATGGGACACCCCGGAGGCCCATCACGGTCACCGAATCCATGAACCCTTTCTTTCATTTCTTCGCCTCTGCCACGCTTATCCCCTTTTTTTGCATTTCTTCGAGTCCGAGTTTTATCACGTTGCACATCACATTCCTAGACGGCCTGTTTCATTTCTAATACCCCGAGGGACATACACATACCTTTTACCCCCAATTGGCATTTCATCTTCTATATTTTCACCTCATCCTCATATACCGTGGCGGGTCTGCTTTTGCAGCTAGTCATTAGCGGGCGCAAGGGTTTTCGGGTGGCTTTTTTTCCCCATGCTTTCTTGTCTTTTACCTTTTCTATCATGGCATAGTCCCACCCTTTCATTTCCCCTCCATCTCTCCGGGTTATTTTTAAACCCGGTCTGTTTTTGCGTGCTTTTCTCTATCTCATTTGGTGGCATTTTTACCCCGGTTGTATGGGGGTTTTGTTTCTGGCCGGTGGTTGTCTGGATTGGAGTGTCATTTTACCTCATTTGTTGGAGCTTTTCTTTGGGTCACCCTTATAGACTTTTTACCCCCTCTTCATTGCTCTTTATTCCCATGGAAGATTTATGTGTTATATCGTCAATACATGATACCCTTCTCATTTCTGTCAAATTCTGTGTCATTAGGAATATGAAACTCCTACATGCTGGAAATATATGGACCAGCTTAACGACTAAGATAGAATAACAATTGAAGGGTTGCTATACCACATTGCAATCACACATTGGAGTGAAGTCGACCATTTTTGTTATACTTCTCTGCTTCTGGGCCACGATTTTATCTCCTCTGGGTCTTCTCCAAGGCAAGTGCCTAATTTGTGCTGGCAATGCATATCCTATTTGTACACATTGCACAATGCCTTCATTGAATATCTATCTTTTTTTTCTTAGAATGCCTTGGCCCTCTCTCCAGAGCTCTGATTTGTTTATCCTTAATGTACAATAAGAGTCCTACCTGTAAATATGATATGAGTTTCCTGTTTCCTGCTTACAGAACTGTATATGTACGGTGCACCCTTGCTTTGTCAAAGGTTAATTGTAAGTCACACAATAGTAGCACGGAGTACTCTGTACGAAGAATTGTATTCTTGCTTGCGTTGAATAGTTGTGGCAAAGCTGAGAGTGAAGTGATGCATAATACCTCACATGCAAAGAAGTGAACAACAGCCCAGGATCTTGACTTGTTCTCGGGGCTTCATTGGTCCGGAATCCTTCCTGCTCCTAACTCAGAAACCCACACAAAAGGCAAAAAGGTCGAGTCAGGCTATTGGCTCGTCGAGAGAAGCCAATCAAATTCCCGATACCAGTGAAGAGCATTGCGGCTGCGAGGATAATTTATGTCCCTAGACATACGGACATAAATGCCAATTGCCTCTGGACTCGATGCTATCTGAGTCTTTGATAACGAACTCCCTGACACATACGGAGTATAGGTAGATAGATAAAAAGCAGATAGAAAACCACGAGAAGTCCTGATAACAAATAGCTAGTAGTGATTTGTACGTGAATAAGCCCGAGGAATCCAACTTGATAGGAACCCTTGTGTGAAGATAGAATATCGAAGAGATTGGCAGGCCCGCGGAATCCGTCTTGATAGGAACCCTTGCATGAAGATAGAATAAAGAAGAGATTGGCAAGATAAACCAGAATAAACCGGATTCTCTATGAAGATTGTAATCTTTGAATTTCTGTTGCGTGATCTACTGATGGCGTCGCGTCAGTGATGATCTAAGATTGCACCAATAATCTGGTCATTCCCATATCTGTGCGAGATACAATCAGAAATCACGAAGATCAGTCACATCAGAGATATCGTCATCTTTATCTCACAGAATCCAACCTTGGAAGACGCAGGAGATAAGGGACCTTTGTCCATTAACAGCATAGCAATTAACGCCTCACGATCCGCATTGGAGGATCCCCCGGAGATCCGATGGGAAGGAAAATTCTGGGGTTGAAATCTGGAGATAGTAGAGTTGTAGTATGATGGCGGTGTAGGTGATATATCCAATGATAACGCCTTATTGTGTCAAGGCAGGGGTCTTATCTCTCTCTGCACGTTGAATTTTCTTTGGAGATACCTAGGATTCTCCCTGTTGGTTGCGATACCAGTGAGCACATTGTTTGGCCCCTTAGGTAGCGTCACGTCTTATCGAGACGGTCTTGGTGGATAACCACACGGCAAGGCGTCAATTTTTCTTGGTTTGCTGAGTGCAACGTATATATATAGTCCATTGTCCCTGGTGTTCCCTTTTGACTTCGGCTTCACTTCGGTGCCAACTCGGTCAACTTTCTCAACTTGGTCAAATATGTCAAAAATATCAAAAATATCACCTATTTCATTTCGGTTCATCCAAAAAGGAATCAATGTTTGATTTCGTTACATATGCGCAGTGTTGTCGGTCTCCTGTCTCCACGCTCTTCGCCCCCCCCTAGGCAGATGCTGCTTCATATGGAATCAGTCAAATGCCTCGACCTTCTAAACATTTTTTTCGCGTAACCGCAAGAACCGCACAGAAAAAAAAACCACCCTCCAACCCCTCACTGTACTGCGGTGGGCGAAGACCTTGACCAAAGTACCAGTCAGATTGTCGTTGCGGGCTGAATGTGCAGACGCCACGGCCCACCTTCCCTGTACATCGATGACAATAATTGCCCAGTGCTCTGCGCCCCCGCGACATACATATTCGGGTTTGTCCGGGTGCCTGAGACAAACAGTGTTTTCCCCCACTCACATCCCCCGATCCAAAATGGATTTGACAATATGATTAGACACATGAATGACCTCTAGGTCATGTACTTTTATGCTAACAAAGAGATAAGGTCCAAAAGTTCCACCGATCTGCATTCTGTTAGGATGACCATGGTTAATTACATTCTAATTACATTCCTATCAGCACTTCTTATCTCGGATTCCCCGACTTGTGGTGGGTCGTGGGGCCAAAAAAAAACAGTCTAGGAGTCCCCAGGACTCCGTGCCATACTGGAGCTGATTACCCAGAGCGCCATTGGAGGAGAAAACATCACCTGTGCTCGTTTATGCCTCGCGTGCCTGTTCCGTATACCGATCCGTGTCCCCGTCCCCACATGAGTCGACCAGGCTCCCGGGGACAATTGATATCAAAATGACACGGGATTTCGGGGATCGACTCTAAATTCATGAGAGTGGCCGGAGTTGTTCCTTAACCCCGCCTTGGTGCCGTGTCGGTGGCAAAGTGATTAAAAGAAAAGGGAGGGAAGAGCAGGGATGTTAACCGGTACGGAAGTCCACCTCAGGATCCCCCGCGAAGGTGGCAGATGGCAACGAAGAACGTTGATTTGCGAGGTTGTCGGTTGCCTCTTTACTTGGTACTTTACCTCGTTTGGGGGCAAATGGGGGGCAAATGTCGGGGAAATTCCGTGACAGACTATCCTGTATATCTCCCTCATACACGGGTGGTACCGTTATCGGGTAATATAGGGATCTCTTTCTGAGCCTCTCGGTGAGTTTTCATACCGTTGCTATTATGATCGTAGCAAGATGAAATTTATTGCTGGTTTGATATTCTATATGATCGCTTCTTATTGAATATATGCAATATATGACAGTATCTTACTTGAGTTGTGAAAAACACACCAATTACGTTGGTTCTTTTTTTTGCGCCTGAAAATGAAAGCAAAGTAAGAAGACCCGTAGAACGTTTCTTATCTTTGAGGATCCATCTATTTCTCGGTTTACTATCGTTTCGCCCCGCTGCGCCAAGAGCATGGACTATAAACTTCAATATCAATATATCTGGTTGTGCATTTTTCTCTCTACAATTTCTTCACGGATAGCTCGTAAGGGGCCTCCTCGTTGATCTGAAACATATCAGAGCATAAGCGATTGAGATCTCGAGACGATATGGATGACTTTATTGACTTTCATCCCACGAGACTTCTTTGACTGGACCGGGAGGTGTGCTCCACCAGTAACGAACAGTACCCACTTAACCTGCATCTGGATTCGCTCCGGGGACGCTAAGAAACATGATGTCTTTGGGAGGTGCCATGTTTCTTGTCTTCTCAAGCTTGTCCGACCGTTTACAATTAGCCATAAGAATTGATAGTACCTGCGTTTAGACCGGTCCCGACTCACACAAGCGGGCGAGGTACATACATTAGTTTCAACTTTAGTACGGAGCTTGCGACCACTCGGGCCGATGATAATTCGAGATGCCGGTCAGCTCTACGGAGTAGGTATATTGTACTCCGTACTCTGTATACTCGAAAACAATACCAATGTCGGACAATATGATATGTTTTAAACAAAAACCAAAAAAAAAAACCACCGGGGCCGTGCGAGTATGCAGAGAAAGAAAGGATGACCTTCTAGATCCGATAATACCGAAGTACTCTGGCTCTTAACAAGAGTTGATTGGAGGAGGGAAAAAGAATCCAAATAATCTACATAGTACCATGCAGAAAAAATATATCAAAATATATCAAAATATATAAAAGTAAAAGTAAAATAAAGTAAAACAAAAAGTAATCGACTTTTAAGCAGACGGGAGTGGCACATAAAATCTTGGGAATCGAGCGAAGCGCCGTAAATCGGTCATTTCCCCGTGACAAGAGTCATACTGGTACGTTCAATTACATATAAATTACATAAATTACAAGTACACTTCTTGTTCAGCGTCACTCTGGGCCCTCTTTAGACATCATATTATTCTTCTTTTCCTCTTTTCCTCTGGGGCTTTTTATTTCTGTTCTTTTTATTTCAATATCAACAGTCAGTACAGACTACACCTTTGATTCTAACTTATACTTCTTGGTTATTGTCATTGCGTGGTCGGCAGTAAAAAAAAAACTGCCCTCCGTTTTCCCCGTCTTCCCACACAATTTCCCTTCTCTCCTCCTCTCCATCTTTCATCTTTCATCATCTGCCACTTTCATTCTCATCTTTCCTTTTGTCACCCTCGGGAGAATTTTCTCTTCCATCAAAAGATAGATCTTCTCGGGGCATGAGCGTTTGGAGGGTCTAGCCCCCCCTCCACGACTTATCAGGAAATCCCGAGGCGTCAAGGCTGGGTGGTGGTCTCCAGATCCATCGTGCGTTCATCTCACCCCAGTCGTCAGCTTAATTATCTTATTATCATATATTATTATCATAAGATCCATTCCGTGCTAATAGGCGTTTTGCGTTGACAGACCCTGGTCGTTGGCTGAATCCTGCCAATCGTTACTCGCTTGGCTGCATTCGATCATCAACTTCCGGCAAGGGTCTCGTTTACGGCGGGTACGGGTGAATTTCAATTCAACCCACCTTCTTTTTGCCGTTCATCCCCTCCCCCCACCGCGGTCGCCTCTATTTCAATTACCTCTCCCCTCTCCTCGATCTTTCTCCATCGGAGATTATGGAGGGGATATATCATGGAGGGCACGGGGAAGCCCGGCCTTCCCAGCCCATGGCCTTCCCCGGTTTTGATGCCGATTCTCATATGATGTCCGATGACTTCTCCTTTGACTCTCCATTCAGTCCCTCTGGTTCCTCCAACGCCAATGATGGCGTCCTCGGCAACTCCATCTTTCCCGAATGGACGAGTGGTGCATCGCGTGGCGACAGCCCCGATGAGATGCAAAGGAAGGATCCGCTCGCCGCTCAGATTTGGAAACTCTACACTAGGACAAAGTCTCAGTTGCCCAACCAAGAGCGCATGGAGAATCTGACATGGCGAATGATGGCTATGAATCTCAGACGCAAGGAACGGGAACAGCAGGCTCGGTAAGAAACTCTCCTGCCAATTTCGAGGCACATAGCTGATTTACTGATGTCCCCAACAGTGCCTCGGAGACTCTCAGCCCCACACCGAGCGGCATCGCGCAGATGCGCCTGTCCGACGAAGTATCGCCCGCTGGTCCCGATCTTTCGCACGATATGAACCTTGATTCCACTTCAGATCCAATGAATCTGGATGACTTCATCGTTCCCTTTGATTCGCCCGCCGAACACTCCTCACATCCTCCTGTCGATCGAAACTTCACTGCAACGCCGACTGGATCAATTCCTATTAAATCGCGCAAGGACCATGCGATGATGGATTCGGCAACCGCCGCCTCATTCCCCCACCCACCCCAAGATCAGCGAACAAACTCCGAATTTGGATACGTCGCCCGTCGGGTCCGCAAAACGAGCGTTGACGAGCGTCAGTTCTTCACCGGTCTTTCTGTTCCAACCCGGAAGCGGCCCGCCGAGGCCTCGCCGCAGGTTCCCCCAGTGTCCAACGCTATGATGGCGCAGCACTCGGAACTGTCAGCGGCACTTCCAGATTACTCGCTCGATCATCCACCTTCGGCCTTTTCTCTTTCCGGCAATGGCACGGTGGGCCCGCGCAGACCTCAACACCATCACACACACTCTAACATCCCTTATGGGCTGGATACGTATGGCATCAGCGAAGACCATGCGATCCACTCGGCCGGGCCTTATCAGCAAAATTTCCATTTTTCGCCAACAGAATCTCCAATGACTGCAGGGAATCCTTTCTCGAGTCTATATGCCCAGACCCCGCTCGCTTCGTCACTCAACTCAACAGAGTTCTTCTCGCCCCCGCCATCGGGCTATCAGTCTACTGTGTCGACCCCGCAACCGATCTATGAAGGGGAGCAGTCGATATTCTTTTCGGATGCGCCCTCCGCTGAATCTCACACCCAGCGCCGCATTCCTAATTATATCCAGCAGCGTCAGTCGAACCTGTCTGCATCGCTGCAGCCACGTTATATGTATAACATGTCCAACAACGAATCTCACTCGGGGACCGCAGTCACAGGGCCGCCAACCACTCATGTGTCAGGATTCTCGGTGCCACAACCTCAGCATATCAACCCGTCCCAGGTACTTGGGCACGGCGAGTTTTCCACAACGGCACCTGCCAGCAGTATGTTCACCTTTGGTGGAGATTCTGACAATGAGGATGAAGATGGAAACTTTGGTGAACGCGGAGGTATTGCCATGCCAAATGACTTTGCCTCTTTGGATGAGTCTGGTGACATGAGCGCCGGTCTTCATTGGGATGGAGGTTTCCCTGGATCGGTACACTCCCTACCAGGCTTCAGTGGTCAGCACCGCAAGCATGTTACGATAGGATCCACAGACATGATAGATGGTCCGCCTGAATGGAACCAGGGAGGCACTCTTGGCCGTGGGCACGGATCCGCTGCTTCGGTTAGCGAGGTTCGCAACCAAAACCAGGATCCTCGTCGTTACGGGAAAGTCCCTCGCACAGCATCGACCCCCAATGCTGCTGCACTGCTCCGTCAGAGCTTGAATGGCTCAGCCAGCGGGCCTCCGACAAACCATCCATCGCCAAGCACTCCTCCAGAGTCAGGCCTCAGCAGTGCGGTGCCGTCCCGACCAGGCAGCCCTGGTGGGTCGAAAAACGGTGACCCGAACGCGGGACCCACCACCTGTACCAACTGTTTCACCCAGACTACCCCTCTATGGAGACGCAATCCAGAGGGCCAGCCTCTGTGCAATGCATGTGGCCTGTTCCTGAAACTCCATGGTGTTGTCCGGCCACTTTCGCTCAAGACTGATGTGATCAAGAAGCGAAACCGTAGCAGCGCCAACACCCTTGCTGTTGGCACTTCTCGGTCATCTAAGAAATCTTCCCGCAAAAACTCCATTCAGCATGCCCCATCCACATCGATTTCATCCCGCATCAATAATTCCGAGTCGCCACCCTCGATCAATGGATCCAGCACGTTGGGGAAACCCGGTGTTGTGCCAATTGCCGCCGCCCCACCCAAGTCTGGTCCTCCGGCTGGCGTCGCTCAAGCTCGTGCTGGTGTGCAAGTGGCACCCAGGCGGCAGCGCAGACTCGAAAAGGCACCAACTGGATCCGAACCAGACGGAGACGACAGCCCTAAGTCAGCCGCTCCCGCGAGCCGGTCCAAAGTCGTACCATTAGCTCCGGCGATGGCACCACCCGCTGCCGCAAACCCAGCGAACCACAGTATCGCCGGTGGGCAGGGTGCGAGCCAGGAATGGGAGTGGCTGACAATGAGTCTGTAGTAGGCTTCTAACACATGATCTTTTTCTTTTTCTGAGTTTTGCCGATGTGTGACGGGGCTACTACCACTATAATCTCACGTATTACACGACTTATGTCCCTGGCGGTCGTGGCTCCTTTATTACTCCCATGTCTTTCCTGATTACTATGTCACGTGTGCTTTTTTTGCTTTTTTTGTTGATTTGATTGATACAACCGCGTCTGTCCGGGACCCGAGCTGCTTATTATGTTTTTCCTTTCATGTTTGCTTTTTTGTTTCTTTTGTTGTCTCGCAGCTCGGAGCCGGGCAGAAGTGCGCATCTCTCTCCAGTATTGGTTTTTTTGATATTATTTTATTCTCATTTATTCTTGGATTTCTTGCGCTGCTGAGCAGGCTTTGATTGATGGATATTGTTATCCTTGCGTGATTACTTCTAGACCTGGACTTCAATATGATCACGATTTTCTCCAATTCATTTCTTCGACGTTGAGCTTATCACTTTTGAGTGTACTTGAGCCCTAATTGCTATTTTCTTTCCATAATTAGCTTCAGGCTGAGCGAAGAATGACAGAATGACATCACAACTACCTTCACCCCCGGACATTAAGCCGAGGAAACAATTCACGTCATGTCGACGAATAGTCAGGCAGTAAAGCTTTTCAAGCTTCCTAGAAATAGATTACACGCCCTACTAACCCAAGTAAGATCGCAGTATATTGAGCCAAAAATCAAAGGAACACGAAGATAGCTGGAAAGGCAGTATGGAACCTCTTCCAGTCAACATTAACCATGGCAAAGCTGATTCTTTTTAACAGAGCGACATGTCTAACACGGACGGTGAGTAGCCATCTCGTGGATTCCCGTCAGCCGTGGAGAACCCAACTCACACCTAACAGAAGCCTCCGAACCATTCACCACAAAAACGAATACCACGGATAGAGTCACTGGCCGCGTCCACGAGTCTGCCAGTCATGCACGCGAAAAGATAGCCGAACAGCTCCAACCCGGTGCGTATTTCCGGCGATGATAGCGCGTGGGCTTTGTGTGGACGACGAATGACGTATGGTCTGAAGTTGAAACGAAAACCCGCGTGATTTCTTGAGTATCAGCTAAATAGACAAATTACGTTCCGCAGGTGATATGAAGGCGACGTCTCGTCGCTCGTCGGATACACCCGATAATATCTGGCAATTTGGACAAGGTGGTGAAAGAGAAGAGCGAGATTATGGGCTAGAGCGGGATAAGTCTATGCTGCAGTCAGCGCATGAGACGGTGGCTAAGGCCCTTGGAGGAGGGAATCGTGGTTAGTTGTTGATTATGACAGTTATTTCATATTTGGTCTTACTAATTAGATTCTTAAGGCGCAAGGTAAATCTTGAAATGCCCCTGGGAAGCTAACTAGCACAGCAATCCAAGGCTGTTGTTATATAGAATAGAATTCCGTGCGAGGTGTTTATATATTCATTGGGAAGGTTGGTTGGACCATTCCTTCCATATCCGTTTATTTTAAACAAAGTATTTGTCAAAATTCGATAAATGCCCAATTTCAATCATACTTAGTATAGACTGCTTTCCGGCGGTGCCAATTCTTTCTAGTGAAAGAATGCCGATTGAATATTGCTGGTGGACTTGCATTGTTGGGGAGTTGGATATACTTCCCGTTTAGGCATCTCAGTGCCTCAGGCAACAACTGATATGATAAATCACGTGTGATAATCAGAGCGAAAAAAGAATCTCCGACAGCCATCCGTCTTCAACAATCAATTGACTTTGTGCAGCCATGGGTTCCAGCTCTAAAAGAAAGAAGGATAAGCAGAAGGACTTCCAGGTATGATTCGTAAACATCTGTTTCTTTTGTTCAACCGGCTAACCTCTGCAGAAACCCAAACTTAAGGTTGGAAAAACCAAAGCGAAGCCCGACAACTACACTGATACCAGTTTCAAATCGAAATGTATGTGCTCTTTTTTTTGGGCTGCTTGACATGTCTTTATGCTCACAATTACTAGCAATTGTCGTCACACAACAATCCCTCCACCTTGCCGCCCCAACTTCAAATGCCACATTCACGCATAACTTATCTCTACTCTCCGCCAAGTCCGACAGCCAACGACGCGACTCGCTTGCTTATCTGACTACTACGATATCATCGCGACCAGTAAACTCGCCTCTGCCACAACCAGTGAGCGTTATTTTACCATCTCTACTACCGCTCATTCTCGATGGAACCACCAGCGTACGGACTCAGCTCCTCAAGCTCTTGCGGACCCTACCACCGGGCGATGTCGAAGACCATGTGGCGCAACTCCTACCCTACGTTCGTGCAGGAATGACCCATCTTGCAGCGGACATCCGTAGTTCCGCCGTGGAGATTCTATCATGGATGATTGAGGCAGCGGGGGAATCAACAGTTGCCTGCGCGGGAGGATGGATCAAAACACTTAACTGCTTCTTGTCTGTGTTGGGCTGGCACACCGAAGAGTCATCACAGTGGTCCTCAAGCCGGGCTTCATTTGGGAAGTCCGGCAGCCAGGGCAAGCCCATGGTCAAGACGCTTGGGGCCCTAGCGATGTTTTTGGATTCGGGGATCGGGAAACCTTCTACCGGCGATGTCGATAGTGAGATGCCTGATGATGACGAGAGTGCCGACTGGCCGTTCCCTCTTTCCCAGACCGCCCAGCACATGATCTCGGACTCGTCTACCCCATTCGCATATCTGAATCTGTTTGGGAAGCCGCGCGACGAGGAAGGGGAAATGTACGAAACCCGTGAGGACAGGTACCGCGTGTTCTCGACTCGTTTCCAGTCAGCAATCGAGCGTGGAATTAAGAGCGCCAGAGAGGAAGGTGGTGAGCTCGGCCGTGCGTCATCCGGTGTGAGCAAGGTGTTGAAAGAAGCGATTGCGTATGGACCGGGCCCATGAATTGTCCAGCCAAGGTTTATGAGCAAAACCAAATCCATCCAATAGAATGGTACGATGAACTAGGTTGGGGCCTAGAGCTTTTTGCGGGCTTTTACCTATAAAGCCACCAGTGGACCACGCATCCGATTCAAGCCATATCGGACATCAATGCCACAAAGTCTATCTTTACACAGACGGTCTCGCCCTGCGACACCTGCAACCACCGCCGAATAGACCCATCGGTACGCTTCTTCGGCCAGGGTGGTCGTGGGCTTTGCGCCCTTGCAGCAGGTAAAAACACAAGATATATACAATACCAAGGCCTCGAGCCAAAGCCTTAAGCTGGAGCCTCATATATATTTTTATGGAACATCGATCTTAATCATTAATTCCTATAGAGCCAGAAAACCACAAGCAAGATAATCTAACATTATCCATAAAAAAAAGGGGGGGTTCTAATAGAAATTCCAGTGGCAACAGAACAAGACTTGTATTTGTTCGCAAACCCTGAAGGCAAACATCAAATGCGGGGAGTCCTATTATTGGACAGGCTATAAGACATTAAAATGTCGTACATGCACAACATAAGTACGGAGTACCATCTCCGAGTCAATTTCCGATTTCAGAAAGGCTAAAAGTAGGCCTTGGAACGAAGATATTTTGCTATGATATGTGCAAGATAGACTCACTATTATTCGCTAACAGTTTCTTTGTGGTCTTGGAAGTGGATATCTTTTTACACATTTGAGACAAAGAGGGGAAAAGACTTGACATGTCTTGTAGCGTGGGTCTGGCACTTCTTTTTCTGGAATTTTCATTTTTATTTTTAGTTTGGGAAATTGAGGATCTTGAAGTCGAACACTGCATGTGTGAAGAAGAGCGTTTCTTTCGGAGATTAATGCAGGGAAATCGTAGCGATGGTTATGGTGTGCTACCTATGTAGGTAATGTGTAGGACATCCAAGGTAAGGGATAATGATGAAGGTTCGATTTGTGATTCATGCCCGAATCCTTTCTCTTCTAGTTGAATGGGTCTTACATCTAAAGTTTGCCCTAAGGTTCTCTCTTTATGATTTCGGTTATAATATGGTATAGATCAATAGTTATATTAGTCGAAGATCCACCTATGATTTGTACTATGGTGCATACTACTCCATACAAGTACATATTGACATGTTGTCACGTTGATTATTATTCAAATCATTTAAATGAATTCAATTAAATATGTTATGTTATTGACTATCACCTTATTTACTTATTTATTTCCAATAGTTCAAGAATCGAGTGTGAGCTATCTCACCCTCTCATTTCCTCGATCTACATGTACTCTTTTCCCCCCCAAAGATCGCCCATGATCGACTGTCTCTACCCGTCTAGAGGATCCCCAAAATTCGGATCTGCAATGCCCCGATTTGAACTCTTGCTTTATCCGGGAAATCATACCAAAGTTAAGTGTTTGGCTCAAAAGGTTCTTCTGAATTGATACCTCACATCCGCGGAGTACGGAATACGGAGTACAGGACGGCCTGACGTTTTTTTTCTTTCCCCCCTTGCATTCATATCTAAGGGGAACAAGAAGGAGAAAAGCCAATTAGGGAAAAACAGTTCAATTGACGATTGGTCTATGGTTGACCAGCATTGTCCCTACCACAATAAACACAATGGAGAAAAAAAAAGATCGAATCGCAGACGGCAACATGCAGCTGCATTAGCACGACCGAGTTTGCCATACAAGCGCTGTGTCATATTACTTTCCCGATCCCAAACTACACATCGCGAGTGTCACAGTGTGTTTGATGGCCAGAGTTGTCTAAAGTGAAAAGTGTCTCCACAAGGCCTTGCTTGGACGAATCCCTTTGGACGAACCCATTTTCATTATCTGCAGGACCTATCCTTCGGATTCGTACTACCATTTTAGCCTCAACCTGTATATCTGTGCCTTTCCAGGCTCCGAGAGGGGGTTCCCCCCCCGGAGTACTCCTGTGTTCTAGTTCCAGGATCCCCTCCAAGCAAGGATACGACAGCTCACCTGAGATCCTATTAAACTCTCTCTATTTCCGCCTCGCAGGTTCGACTTTTGTTCGCCCGTTTTGATTCTCTCATACATAACGCCACCTCGCCAACACTTGTCGACTTTGTACATATTGACAGCCCCTGTACATAGTGGTGTCAGCTTGCATCGACGTATCATATTCCTCGCGCGTCTATATAGCCCCTCGGGCCCCCTGTCGTGTCGGCACTCTTCAGCAGGTGAGCATGTCTTGCTGCCGAGTCAGTGCCTCGGTTCGTCTCTCTAACTTGGGAAGTATAGCATTGTCTATTGCTTTACCCGTTGAGCATCCTGGATTTGTATGTCGACGCCTGGGAACCGTCGGATTGCAAAGCCAGCCAGTAATTGATGCTCCGGCTCCCTATGCATCAGTCTGATTCACTGCATGACTTTGCCGTCGCACCAAGCCCAATCGTCCGGACTTATCGACCTGATCCTCCCTCGAAACGCAGGCTGCCCAACATGACGTCCACAAAGACTGGGCCACCACCTAAGCCTCTGGTCGCCCCTAGGCCTCGAGGCGGGAGTGCTCCAAGACCTGAAGCCCGATCAGCAGGTACCGCCGAAAGAGCTGGTAGAAATGAAAGCCTAGGAGACATGGTTCGATTCTTCCAGTCTCAAAATATGCCCTCTCAGTCCCTTCCTCTATCTCAACCTCCATCTCAACCTCAACCCCGCTCTCGCGCTCCCTCTCAATCTCAACCCTCAAGTCCTTCCGATACAACCACTGCACTCCCGATTCCTATTTCGCCTAAAGAGTCGAAACAAGAATTGAAACCAGAATTGAAGCCAGATCCGAAACAAGATCTGAAACCATTTCATCGTCGCCTGTTGCAGTTTGCCCAGCGCCAAAAGAAGGAATCATCTCCCCGGTCAAAGCAAGAAGACCAACAGCGCCAAATCGAAGCACTAACAAGGGGAGGATATCTAATTCCACCAGCTTTACCTTTACCCAAGGAGTCAAAGGGACAAAAGGAGGCAAACCGATCAAAAGAAAGCCTATCACTTTCTCTCTCGCGATCTCTTTCTAAATCAAAGAAAGATGTGGAGACCATTGGACAGCCATGGTTGCAAGCCAAAGTCGATGACAGCACACTACCAACTGAGACAAGACGTCACTTGGGCTCTCTGGATCTTGGTGACTTTGGCTCAATGGTCGACGTCGCAGTCTCACTCACTTCCGATTTCGACGATTCTGTGCCACCGCCGTATCAACCAACCGACCACGCCCCATCCAAATCCCCAGCACCTATCTCGACATCAAGTTCTATGGCAGACCTCAATTCTCGAAATATCACCCGGTCAGCTTCCTCGTTGGCTTCTACCAGCGATTCCCATCGGAACGCGCCAATTGGTGAGCAAATCCAACGGCCATTGAACTCTTCAGAGTCGAGTATCCGTGCCGAACCTGTCTCACGGGTCACTATCAATCCATCCGTGGGTGTGAATGGGTCAAGTTCACAGCCTAAACTGTCCATTGACAGCCAAAAGCGAATTCAGCCAGAACAATCTTCTACTCGAAACGTGACCCCCTTGTCGCCTACCTTGAAACTTTTCCCCGACGTTGCACCTCCTCGGAAATCTAGCAAAGTCGCATGGAGAAATTCATCAATTCCTCGGTACCAAACAGTCGAAAATACCACAGCATCGCCGGCATCTCTGGCATCGAGCTCAGGAACTGTACATTCTGATAACGCACGCAAGGCTTCAGATGACCCAAAAAAATCAACCGAAACTCTTGTAGATGCACCAGTCAGCGAGGCAGAGCCGAAGTGCTCAGATACCCTTGCATCTTGTGCGAGCTCTTCTGCAACGACACTATCTATAGAAGACGCCACAAAGGATTCTGCCTCGCAAGATAAGACCAAAATTCGACCGCTCTCGTTGTCATTGGGCACGTTGAAGGCATTTCCTCTCCCAGCGCCTACAAGGCCCCTGCCATCACTGCCCAAAGCTAAATCCTCGCCAAGTACTCCGGACACGAACGCTTGCTCTATTCCAGCGATTACTCCGGAGCCATTGCCTTCCAATCTGCGTTCTACTTCGGCAACGCTGGCTGAAGACCGGGAGACCGAATCCGCTGTTGATAGTCCTTGTGCCCTTGACTCGCGCCCAGCAACCGCTCTTGACAGTATCGATGCTGGAGCGTCAACGGCCGATACAATGGCCGATGACGAGGACAGCGTGTTTACCATTTCACTTTCGGAACACTACCAGCCAACCCCGGAGCATTACGCTCCGAGAGGACGTGTTTCAAGCGTGCGCATCCCGCGGATGCAAGAACTCCCCGAAAGCCCTTCAAGTCAATGTGATGCAAAGGTCTCAGAGGGGCAGCCTTTGGCCGACTCTCCTGTCCTAGGACACTTTGTCCCTACAAAATCCAATGGCAAACGTGCTGTTCCGAAAGGACTTCAGATCAATTCTCAAGTCAGTCGAAACAACCTTCCATTTGGTCTACCATCACCTCCACCCACTGCATCACTCCCATCAGCTCCACCTCCTCAGCACCCGCCTCCTCCGCCACCTGGGCGAAAGGTTGGCCAACGCAACTACACTGCGCCTAATATGGCTATTGCACCATCGATGAAGAACATGGAGGCGCATCCCCTACCGGGGCCCTACCGAGGCTCGACCTTATCACGGAGTGATAGCTCAGGGAGCAGCCTTCGACATGAGAGTTTCCCCGAAAACTACCAACAAAGTCGCCTTGAATCTCGCCCAGAGTCTCCACTTCCGTCATCAGACGATGAGGTCTTTGGTCCAGAAATAGACGCCAAACATTCGCGCCAGGAGGCCGACAAATACCACCGCCTCCAGCCAACACGCCGAGTATACGAGACAAGGGATCCACGGCAGATGTCCTCCCGCAGTCGACTTCGTTACCCCAATCCAGCGCGCCCTATGACACCCCAAAGCCGCAGCATCCACAGTCTTGAGAAGACCTCGTCTCCTCAGTCACAGTATTCCCAATCAACTCACAGATCGAGGGAGTCTCAAAGCAGTCAACACACCCGCCCTGGTCCTCAGATGGATCACTACCTCGAGGACCGGGTCGCGAACCTCGAACGCCAGAACCAGATTCTACAAGCCGCTCTCATGGCGGCGCTCAACGCCGGAGTCAAGAATCCTCTCGAGGGTCTCAATCTCGACCCTAACATGTCATCAGGCTCCTCACACGCTCCCTTTGCGCACCAATACTCTGGTCGCCACACATCACGACCTGACAGCTGGGTCAGTTCTTCTCGCAGCAGTGACCACAGCGGGTTTGAGTCTTCCAGCTCCTACCGAGAGACCCGGCCAAATGTCAGACAGCTGGACAACATGATCGAAGACATCGAGTCTGGTTGGCTGTCAGACAAGTCCAGTTTAAGCGGAACTCGCATTGCCCGCAAACGATAGACAACGATCTTTTATTTCTTTCCTTATATTTTTCTTACATTTTTCATTGCTTCTGACGGAACGGCGTTGCTCATTTATTGGCTCGTGATGCTTTTTTTGGCTTCCTACATATACCGGCCCTGTCTATCTTTGCCTATATTTTCTATTTTCCGTGATACCATTCTGTTGTGTTCTTGGCTTTTTTTTGGCTTTCATGTTATTACGCTGAATGTTACCATTATATATCCCTCCAAGCAACAATAAATCAGATCTATATAGTTCTGAGTCAAGATTGACGCTATGCACCGTATGAAGCTCTCACTTAGAATTGAAGCTACCTAATAGAGCTTTAATGATAGATATAGAGTTATTAATTGAGGTTTTATCATCTTGCTAGCACCTGAAGAGCTCAAAGATCTTTACAGAAGGGTTCCATCCACCGTTGATGTTTTTGTGCCCATCCAAATGCTTAGTCATTTGTTTTGGAGACGCCCAAGTGCAATAAACTTCTAAACTCCATGTGCTTCACTCATTTTGGCCGAGGGGAAATACATAGCGGAAAAAGCAATTACAAAGACATGAAGTGCTCCGTTCTCGTCTAACCTAACCCTAACAAAAGTCTCCCACATCGCATACCAACAATCTTCACATTCCCCGCGGAACCCCCCAATCATGGCAAACTCAGGACAAGTAAGCGCAACCTCTCCTCCAAAGCTGCTGAAATAGACTGACAAAATCCCAAAGCACATACAGCAGGTCCCCCAACATGTCACTGCGCTGCTCTCGCACCTCACCTCGCGCCCGGGCGTGCAATCTACCTTGATTCTCTCCCGCAAAGACGGATCCATCATCCAAAGCACAGGACAGCTAGCACAAACAACCGAAGAGAATGGAAGCTCTCGCACCGCACACAATACCCCATCCACAACCGACTCGATCCCTCTCTCTACCGCCCAATCCACGGACTCATCCCCTACCTCGCCCACCGTGCCACAGCCCTACCAACCCTCGCAAGCCGAGACACTAGCTGCACACATCTTCGCGTATGTCTCCAGCGCCGAGGCACTTGGTGTCTCGCTATCGCGACCCACGCCCACTGTGCAGCGACCCAGCGACAACCATTGGGATGTTAACTACGACTACGGGACCGAGGCGGGCACAGCACGTGAGGAGGACCGGGACGGCGATGATATCGATCGGGATGAGGATGGGGAAGTGAAGCTGCTGAGAATGCGCACAAAGAAACATGAGATTGTTGTTGTGCCGGATCGGAAATACCTGCTGTGTGTCGTACATGATGCCGCCCCCGGTGGAGGGCCTGGGCCGGCGGGCTCGCGCTCCCGGTAGTGGAATTATGGTTCTTTCTTGTGAATATGGCTAGTCTTGTGTTGGTTTTTCGGGGGTTTCTTTCTTGTTGTGTGTTTACGGGAGCTTGTTTTGTTGGCTTTGGATTTCATACATATACCCGATGGAAGCAAAATCTTCGCATTTAATTCACGTTTTCCATGCCATGGCTATATGTAGGAATGCCTCTGTATAGTTTATCAAGAGATAAGCATTTATCTGTACAGTTCTACCAAGTTTCTGCTTTCTATTGCCTTGTGGAGGGATGATATTGCGGGTAATATGGGTGGCTATTCAAGTGAAGCAACCTACTCCTTTTAATATAGATCTACGATCGAAAGCTATCTGATGTAGAGTCGACATGATGCTGAACTCATATATTCGAGACGGAACAGAATCGAAGTACAACGTAGCTTGAGACCGGAGCAAATCCGTTAACAGCTCCACTGTTTACCCCTCTCAGCGGCCGAGACAATTATCAAGTGGACAGATATTCTTCGTATCTTACAATTCCCATGCCAAATACATCTATCATCTATCTATATCAAGCTAATCTGATAATATTCAATATGGCCTCTGCTCTCGATGTTTCGGCAGCTCGCTCTCGCTTCCCTGCACTGCAGCAGGAGCAAGTGTACATGGACAACGCTGGTGAGATAAACCTTCATTTTGATAGCCCCGCTAACTTTGAGATTTATGCTGATTGTCAAACTACAGGTGGAAGTCAGGTTCTCGATACTGTGGCTGACTCGTTGGTCTAATCGATCCCATTGTAGATGGCTATATACTGACGCTGCTATAGTATCCGTTATTACCTGCTGAACACGAATGTCCAGCTCGGAGCCAGCTATAAAGTCTCCCAGACTTCGACTAATGCGTACGCTAATGCATACAAAGTGGCTGCTGGTTTTACCAACGCTGCGCCCGAGGAGGTACCTGCACGATAATCCATGGCGTTTGCTTCCCAAGAAGTATGACAACTGCCAAATTTCAGGTGCTAATGCATGGAATCGGAAACAGATCAGCATTGGTATCTCGACCACCCAGCTACTGCACAATCTCTCCACCGCGCTTAAATTTCAGCCTGGTGATGAACTGGTCTTATCCAAACTTAACCACGAGGCGAATAGCTCCCCGTGGGTGCATATAGCAGAGAGGTTGGGCTTGACTGTAAAGTGGTGGGCTGCTGCCGACCCAAAGAACCCAGTGTGTGATCCAACCGAGTTGAAGTCTCTGCTCTCCGATAAGACTAGACTCGTGGCATGCCCTCATGCTTCCAATATCACTGGCACCATCAGTCCCATCCGAGAGATTGCAGACGTTGTCCATGCTCATCCTCGCGTGAGTAACGATCAAATCTATTGGTCTCTACATACTTGCTCACATGAACTTAAAACAGGCACTGCTGTGTGTGGATGGAGTGGCCCTGGCACCGCATCGTCAGGTTGACGTGAAGGCGTTGGACGTGGACTTCTACGTAAATTGCAACCCAAGCTTTTGCATGACTAGCGCATTGCTGATCTCCCCCCACTAGGTATTCTCCTGGTACAAGGTGTATGGACCACACTTGGCGCAACTATATGCCTCATCACGCGTTCACGACCAGATCCAGTCACTGGGCCATTTCTTCAAGCCCACAGATACGCTAGACCTGAAGCTCAACCTCGCGTCGGCTAATTATGAGCTTACACAGAGTATTCCCCACGTTGTGGAGTACTTTGGCTCCGACCCTAGCACGACCTGGGCCCAGATGGCCGAGCATGAGGAGCGGCTGCAACAGATTCTACTGGAATTCCTAGCGTCTAATAGCCGAATTGATGTTATCGGTGAACCCTTGGCCAGCAAGGAGCTCCGCGTGCCGGTTATTAGTTTTGTTGTGCAGGGAGTGGGCAGCCAGCGCCTTGTGGAGGAGGTTGAGCGTCGATCGGCCTTTGGGTTCCGCAGTGGTCATATGTACAGCCACCGGTTACTGGCCGACGTGTGCGGATTGGACAATGTGGAGGACGGGGTGGTGCGGGTCAGCTTCCTGCACTATAACACCGGTGAGTGGGTATTTCGATGGGATTCGTTCGGTGCTAACAATATGACAGAGGCCGAAGTACGGGGGCTGGTAGGGGTATTGCGAGAGGTGCTTGGATCCTTGTAGTTGTGGTACGGAGTACGGAGTAGATAGCTTGTGTACATCGATATACAGTATCGTTGGGCTATCTAGATATATTTTATCGAGACTACGTGTTATAACCCAAATTTTTTGGGGGTTCAGATTTGTCCTTTTTCTCCCACTACATTACTGCAGACCGCATATTTTGCCACCTGGCTGCCCTATGATGATCTCTAGGCCACGGATATCTGAATCTTCCAGGAATCCCTTGAAGGCCTAACCTTGTCAAACATCTGCTCTTTGTTTTCAGCCTAAGTTCCCACCGTGAGGTCATATGAGTTCACTCCCGAGGTTCCCCAGCTCCATCTGGAAGGCTGCAGGCAACCCCAACCAGCAATGCCGATCGCAGCGTCAGCCAATCAGAATAGAGATAATGGTGGAATAATGGGAATGATAGTGGATCGCAGCCTAACAGCCGCGCGTGGATTGGCCAAGGTGCGAAGACAGCGTGGCAAGCGGCTTTATGACTCAGTGGGACTTTAGATAGAGCCTTCAGACTGGACGGATTATAGTGATTTTGAGTATTATGAACCTATTTGTGAATGAACCTTTCCTTTACGGAGTACTGATTTATATAAGATTCATTGATCACACTATGAGTGGCTACACAAATATAAGGTACCACTGCATGGACAAGTCATTATAGGGCTAGATAATGATAATATTATAGAGAAAGAACCCCCAAGATTAGTATGATAATAGATAATAATAGATAATAGAAGATAGATAAAATCGAAGATATTATACTATCTATCTAATAGAATATATCTAATATAATCGAATATAATGTATCTCACGGCATATAAAAAAGGTGATAGATGCGTGAGTCACCGTCGTACCACACCCGAGGTCTCTCCCAACCCTCCTATCTCGGAGTCTTCTCGCCGCATCCGGGTTTTTTTTCCCCCCTCTCACCCATCTCTATCGAAATGTTCCTCTTCTGATTTATATAGGAAGATTACTATCAAAGAGAGAAGTAGAATATTTGACTATATTCTATTTTTCTATATACGTGTGGTCCCTGCGCCTCCCGGCATCTTCCTAACCCGCCACCCACTTCTTCTCGCCACAGTGTGACTTTCTTTTCCCCTTCTCCCATTTTTTGCCCCCTCCCAAATCTCTTAGTCAAAAAACAGATTTTTAAAAAAAAGAGTCATAGGTAAAGTCGTTCCATAAATGTCCTCTTCCCTTTCTTCTCTGACTCTAACATCTCCATCTCGCCTCCCCTCAGCCTCATCCCCTCCCCCCGACTCTCGCCTCCCTCTCTGCCTAGCCGCTTCAACGACTGCCTTGTACAGACAGCCACCAGCGTGGTTCTGCCTGTCCATGGTCCGTTGGGTGCCTTGATATAACTCCTTTTCTATCACACGACTCATTTCAAAATGTACCTTATTGATTCATCCGTTCCGATCGCCTGTGCTGCTGTTACCGACCTCCGCATCGTCACCGTCTCTGGCTCCATCTAATACACTCGGAAGAAAGAGTCATATTGCCACGTGCCCCTGCTTTGGTTCTTATATCAGAAGCACTTGGTTGATCGGATCGTGAATACGTTTTCCTTTTCTTGTCTTTATAGTTGATTGTTTCCCCTTTGCCCTCTTTTACCCGCTACACCCGGCGGTTCCGCTTATTTTTCTACGTCTGGTTATCAACCTGGCTCTCTACTTCTAAAGGTCCGCCGTCGCCTTCGTCGCAAAGACGGCTTCTGTCTCCTCGGCTCTCGTTCCCGGTTCCCTGCTTAACGGTATCTTGACACTTACGGTTCCAAAAATCGGACCATCTCGCTTTTATCCGACTGTTCTTCATTTGAACATTTGTTCAACAAACGCCCTATAATGAACTCCACAGTACTTCCGGATATGTCAGGGATGGACGTCTTGGGAATGAATATCTCAAACCCAAGCTCTCAATTGACAGCGTCTCACCACGCTCACCCCTATGCATCCTCGATCTCCTCCGCCGCCTCCTCCTCTTCCTCATCTGTATTCTCCCTCGATTGCGTCTCCTCGCAGAGTTCGATATCATCGACCTCGACCAACCCGGTTGACGTGATTTGGGAGAATGAGAGTAATAGCCAGTTGGCAGGAAGAAATCCGAACGGAGCATGCCCCCGGGCTTTTGCCAAGGGACCTGCTTCCAAGGTGGACGGTGTAGTGCCATCCGAGCTGCGAACGCACCCTCGGCGCACTAACAGTTATTCTTCTAGCGCTCCTAGTGCGCGCCCTCCGCCATGTCTGCTACGGCAGTCGGAACGGAAGGTGAACTTCGTCGACAACCTCGTCGGTAAGTCTTGAAAAAGGACTCCTCACAGTACGTCTTGTACGCTCAGCTAAATAATACTTCCCCTCCTTTAAGACACCGCATCCCAGATTGTTGAGACCATCTGGCCCCTTTCCGCCGCGGCATCCCGCAGTGATGCCGCGACCGGATCCAAAGGGGTTCTTCCTCTCCGCACTTTTATCCAGGAGACCCTCCGCCGCTCGCGTACTAGCTACAGTACCTTGCAGGTGGCCTTGTATTATTTGATTAAAATCAAGCCCCACGTACCTACGCATGACTTCACCAAGGAGCAGTGTCGGGATCAGTCGCCCTTGCGGGCAATGCAGTGTGGACGCCGGATGTTCCTGGCAGCTCTGATTCTCGCTTCAAAGTATCTGCAGGATCGCAACTACTCCGCTCGAGCCTGGAGCAAGATTTCTGGGCTCAACACTCTTGAGATCAACCAGAATGAGCTTATGTTCCTCAAGGCCGTCGGATGGCGCCTGCATATCGATGAGGCAACGTTTCAACGTTGGACTGATTTGGTTTTGAAGCTGACCCCTGGTGCCGGTGGACCCCCAGTCGCTAAAGGTCAGTGCTGGCAGACTGTCCTACCCAGACTCACTCCTGAACTGGACTTTGTAGAGTCAGATCCCGTGACCCCAGTTTCAGCGATGGGTGGGATGGATATCGGTCTGTCGGAATACCTCTCGCCTCGTAGTCTGCCAAGTAACGAGTCGGTGCGCTCCTTGCCGCGTGAACAAACTCCAACTTACGCTCGGAGTCTTCCACGCACCCTGGAGCCGACTCCGCGGATGGATTTTGCCAACCTGGCTTTGCCCAGTATTCCACGGCCTATGATGCTTCCCACGCCACAGATGACCCCCCAATCTCAAGTGTCCTCCACTCCTGCTGCGAGTGTAGCTGCTTACAACCCCCGTCGCCCATCCATCTGTACGGCTATGTCTCAGGCGCAGAATGCGTGCATGGCGCGATCAACACTCGATCAGCGCCCGCCCCTGTCATTCTGCCCTCGGACTCAGTCATACGATGGTTACCCGGCTGCGGCTCGTCGGTCATCTTTGGCTCGCTCGACCTCTTCGGCATCCTCACCTGACTCGATGGTTTCGGACGTCTCTACTCTGTCATCCCGCTCTTCGCGGTCGTCATCAGTCTCGTCCAACGCCTCGGGTACTTCTGGCTCGGCACCAGCTCGTCTGGCTGTTAAAGCCACATTGCGCTGCACGAGTAACTCCCTCAAGGAGTCCCGCAAGACTCTGGCCATTGCCTCTCCGATTGATGAGAGTTGTCTGGTCGGCGTCTACAGCTCTCCTGAATACCCCAGTTCCATGGGTTCTTCGGTCCCAGACCTATCTAATTTTTCCCTGGATTCCAGCCTGAGCGAAGCTGCTCAGAGTCTCTGCGAACTTTCCGGCGCGACGCCCGAACGGCGCCAGTGCCGAAAACGTGGACGTACTGGATCCGACGATCTCCTGCTCCAAAACCATGTGCGCCATCTGATCAACCTCGGGGCCTCTGGTGACCACTCTGTGTTGCCTGATGGACAGTTCCCACGCTCGTTTATGACGCAGCATGGGTCCTCCATCCCCCCTGTGCGGACTGGCCTAGTCTCTGGACCAGCTGGCATGAAACGTGCCTGCTGTGGCAGCGAAGCACGCAAGATCGCGTTGAACCCGAGTCTCCGTGTTGCGGAGTACTTGAATTAACTTGCGATTTATTAGCGGATTTCCTTATTTTCTTATTTCCTTTGTGCGAGGCAAAAAAAGAAAAAGTCCGTCGTTTTGTTTTTGTTTTCCCTACGACGAACCGACCCCGTTGTACATACCCCTATTCTCGGGCACTCGGTCGTACGTACTGGGACTTGGGCGTTTGATTCCCACGATGTGTACGATGTGGTGATGACTGGCGTGTCTTCTACTTTCATCGTGCATTTGTTCTCTCACTTTTTTTTACCTTTCTTTTATCTACTTTTGTGGTTGCGGGCGGAGTGTGGTTGGCATGGGACGGTTATGGTCTTTATTTACTCTGGTTACTTTGGGAGGGGAAGCGGGCGTCTGCCCTGATTATACCTGTATCAACTCATCCATCTAGGGGATGGCAGATATGCCATCCCCGAGGGTTTCTTGCCCTCGGATAGGATAGTCAATCCAAATACAGCTTAACAGCGATATCGGCCCCTTCTCGTATTCCTAAGCGCCCAGGCAACTGCCCAGATGTGCACATGACAGAGGTCTGACCGTGCACCCATGAAACTGCAATCTATGGTTCCGCTGTGAGTCATTCACGCGTCAACGGTGGCGGTGTGTGGCTGTGGACCTTGGGTGTGGCTGTGGGGATATTTTCGGGTGGCGGGTATTATCCCTGGTTTCTAAGTATAGAGTGGAGTCTTATGCACGGCGCATATTGTGCACTGCCAGGTTTTTACAAAGTACCAGGTGCTGTGTACATTTATTTTTATTCCAATCCTGGGGTGCTTGAGCATATGCAGACAAAAGTCCCAAATCTATCTGCAACTAATTTTAAAGTCGACCTAATCCTAACTAATACTCTAGCGTGGAGACTAACGAGGTCTTACTAGATATCGGCTTGATCAAATGAATTACTGCTGGGAAGTCAAATATGAGTCCAAACGCCTAACCTGCATATACAGGTCTCGAGGGACAAAGTGGCCCCATATAAAATGATGAGGTGAGCTCCCTGTTCATACAACTATTAAATTGATTACAGTTCCATAAACATGCTACCTAGCAGGCCGAGTTTATAAGTGGAATGGGCCCAGCGATAAAAGAAAATATTCTCTGTATGCCATGGTACATACCAGTTGATGCCTTTTCCATTGTACATATACTAGTTATATGACTATCCATTTTCATCCTTCTGGCTATAAGATTGACACCAAAAGAGACACCAAAAGAGACATCAAAAGAGACATCAAAAGAGACATCAAAAGAGACATCAAAAGAGACATCAAAAGAGACATCAAAAGAGACATCAAAAGAGACATCAAAAGAGACATCAAAAGAGACATCAAAAGAGACATCAAAAGAGACATCAAAAGAGACATCAAAAGAGACATCAAAAGAGACATCAAAAGAGACATCAAAAGAGACATCAAAAGAGACATCAAAAGAGACATCAAAAGAGACATCAAAAGAGACATCAAAAGAGACATCAAAAGAGACATCAAAAGAGACATCAAAAGAGACATCAAAAGAGACATCAAAAGAGACATCAAAAGAGACATCAAAAGAGACATCAAAAGAGACATCAAAAGAGACATCAAAAGAGACATCAAAAGAGACATCAAAAGAGACATCAAAAGAGACATCAAAAGAGACATCAAAAGAGACATCAAAAGAGACATCAAAAGAGACATCAAAAGAGACATCAAAAGAGACATCAAAAAGACTTCCTATAAGAATCATTTTAAGCCATTCTTCATTCTCCACCAGGTGGTAGACATTGATTGCACCGAGGGATGAAGACAATGAGCCCGAGATCGGGGATGAAGAGATGATTCCAGGGCCAGAAGGCAATGAGGGTTTCGAAGAAACTAGTACCGGAGGCGAGGCTCTTCGTCCTGATACCCCAAACTCGCTAAAGCCAGAAGGACGACTCGTTGAGTCAATTCGCCGGGTCCTTACCCGGCTCCAAGAATGGAGCCAGTCAGTAAACCTGGTAAAAATGGAAAATCGCCCAATGAAAATGGGACTGGTGTCTACTTCTCCGAGTAGATATTGACTTCCTAGTCTATTGACTTCCTAGTCAATATGATATCTCCGGCAATTCCACAGTCAGTCTCAACTATATTCGAAAAGGAAACAATCACACTCGAAGATCTGAAAAGACATCTGGAAAGACATCTGAAAGGACACCAGAAAGGATTCTGACACCAACACTAAGATGGAAAAGAAATCGAAAAATGAATTAGAGAGCACATCAACATACTATGATTAAATATAAAGTCAACCATATAATCTCGGGCCAAATGGATATTCAAATTCTGAAAGCCCCACGTTGGTAAGGACATAAAGCCACATGAGCGGTCGACTTATTCTTGAAGTTGATCGCTTGAATATTAACATGGACATCTACATGCCACTTGGTACAGAACAAAAGGTTCACATCAGCATCAGGAAGGCCTAGACAGCCTTTTCCACATCCATATCTTTCTCCCGTGTATCAGTAACCACATCCTTGCTATCTGGGTCAACCGCTTCCATTCCTTCGACCACCATGCCTCTATCGTATATCTCGTCAGGTAGAACAGCACGGTCAATCTGAGTCTCCTGCGCAGGAAACAGCCACGATAACAACATATAGACGACAGATGTGGCAACAAAGCCCAATAACCACCCGAATTCAAACGGATGTACACCGACACCGACATCGATATTAGAGTTCACAGAGTTGGCCAGTCCAGGAAGACTAGGCGCAACACCCACAATAAAAGACAACACAGCACGCCAGTTTGTGCCAGAGATACTCTTGCCCGGGAGGCCCGGGATGGAGAATGTATAGCGATATGTTGGGTTATTGGGCTGGTATAGAGCGAGGGTGTCATATCGACGGCGGTTGACAACCCAGAAGTCAACCATCATAATTGCAGCAATAGGACCAAGGAAGATCGCATATGCAGACATAAAAGAAAGGAAGTTGCCTGCTGATGCGAGGATTTTCCAGGGGACAAGACACCACGACAACAAGGCGCATAGGATCTGCCCGCGCCGGATGTTGATATACCGTGGTGCCAGTGCAGTGAAATCGTTAGCAGCTGAAAGAGAATTGGCCGAAATGTTCACGCCCAGGGAGGCTAGTGCGAAGGAAGCTGCGCCGAAAAAGCGACACGCGCGGTTGGGCCAGTAACTGATCAGAACGGTTGGATCCCATGGGATAGACGAGAGATTATATTCAACTTGGCCGGCGGACGAGGCAGCAATGCCAATAAAAGCGAAGAATGTAAATATAATAGGTAGCATAGGGACATACAGGAGCTGCCAGCGGGGGCTGACGCGGGAGTATCGGGAGAAGTCAGACTGAAGACGGTTAGCTTTCGCTATATTTGATACAAAGGCAGTGTAGGACCTACTTGATTGACAGACAATGTTGCATAATTGCCCAGAACGGATGTCATATTGGCCAAGAATAGCCAGCTATACTTGGAGCCGGAGACTGTGGGAGCCTGCTTTGCGAATACGCCACCACCACCTTTCACGGTGACAAATGCCCATATCAAGATAGCGATCCAAGCAATAGGAACCAGAATCGATTTGATCGTAAATAGCCAGCGCAGCTTGTTGGGATGCATGTAAAGGAACGGAACCTGGATCAACCAGAAGATCAGGAACCCGACCATAGCACCGGTCGTGATTCCCTGCGACTCGGGGATACCATTGGGAATATTCAAGAAACTTGGCCATATTGCGCCAATCATGACATGGACAGCATTTCCGCCGTTGACATTTTGGATAGCAAACCAAAAGACAGCAAGGATGACTCGTGAAATGATGGCGATATATGAGCCCCAAAAGCCCCAACTAGCACGCGCGATCACGGGGAATGGAACATGGTATATGGCGCCCACAGTTCCGTTCGCAGCAATGACCAACGATATAATGAAGAAGGACAAGGCGATGATGCCTAGAGCTTCACGATAGGTGAGGCCGACGGCAATCATACTGCTGGCGAATTGCCAGGTCGCTGCGTTCAAGGCATCGGAGATCCAATATGCTAGCAAAATGTTCTATTAGCTCCAGTCTATTGTTCGCAAAAGATAAGCACAAGTACCGCACCTATTATACTGGGTACACCCCATTTGCGGCCATGCTTGGCAATCGGGTCGAGATCACGATTTGTCCACCGTGCATTGCCTGCTGCAAATGCAGACTCACCCTGCGAGACCCGTATTTGCGGCCTAGAGATACGCAGTTTCATGATTGAGGAGGCAATCGGTGCTATGGGTGTTCTCAAGACAAGGAGGGTTCAAGTCCAGGTTCTTTCGGTGTGTATATGTTGATGTTACACCACAACGCAAGGGGTAGAACAGCTCAATAATTTGAAACATAAAAGAATCAGAAGAACTGCAGCTCCAACCTCTTCTTATTCCCCAGATTTGCCCCCCGGCATGCTCCGTGCACAACATGGATGATGATAAGAACCTTGAAATGATAAGCCTACATTATGTAGATAAGACTAGGGGGACGAATGAGAAGGGAGAGCTCAAAAGTACCTCCAATGTACCTCGTAAAAATTGTTTAGCGTGTAGAGATATCGAGATATGCTTAATTGCTACCCATGCAGCATGCGCAGGTCTAATGCGAAAAAAAAGGAATAACTAATGCGATCGTCGCTGCGAACCCTTAGCCATTCGTCGATCCCTATGGAAGTACCTAGGTACACACTCTCTCTACTGCTTCTCACCCGGCAAACGGACATCATGCCACCCTCTTCCATCACCAACGCCCTCTACACTCCCGTGCGGTCGGATCCCCTGCCACTCCGTGAGATTGATCCACCCAATCTGCTGCACGTCGCCAAACCCGCCAATCCAGTAAGCATGGGTGACCACCAATCGGGCCCAGAAACTCGCATGAGGCGAGTAAGAAGCACCGGGTAGCCAGACCTTTGCATCAGGATGAGGCCCGAGGAAACATTCCTCGAGGGCTGCAGCTGCGTCATCGGGAAGCGGGGACGGGAGGTTATCCAAGTATCCGAAGAGGGTGACACGAGGCAGAGCAGCCGGGCTGAGAGGAAGACCAGGGTAGACTGGACCGGCCTCATCAAGATGATCCCACCAGTCTAACTGGAGACTGAGATTAGACCCCGCTGCAATGTTCTTAAAAGTGGTTCCAACGCGAAGGCCAAGAATTGTTGGATCACCGTTATCGTCATGAGATAAATCGGATGGCAGGGATCCATCACAATCGGCAATGTACTCGCGGAGTGCGATCGAGAGACCGGCAACATCTGAGGGAGCATGTGCAGAGGGTGGAAGGGACTCTGGGAAGTTGGTGGAGATGACGCCAGAGGAAGACAAAGCAAGCAGGCGGCGGGCCATCAAAGTTGAGGTGAACCATGAAGGGCGGTTCAAGACATTCTCATCTTCAATATGGTTAGAGTTTGGGCTGGGATTCAAACTGTTTGGTTGTCCGAGGAAGGCCTGGATATTGTCCGGAAGCGGGACAACAAAGCCGTGGGCCGCGAAGGGTAAAATCAGTGCGAGAGCACCAGTGAGGATGGAGGCCGAACGAGAGACCATCATGACGATTAATCAGATAGACAAGTTGGCATCGAAATATCTTTTAGAGGAGTAAAGAAGAAGAAAGCAGAAGGAAACTGGAAGTGCGGAGAACATCAGCTGATGGAAATCTTATCTGATCGGTCTTCTACGGCGGTCACTAGCCGCCAGTGGCGCCACCTCGGTCCAAGTAGGGCTGTTCTTGGCTAATATAACATCGGTTCTAGGCAATGACGCCATAGTAAATAATAGGAGATGGGAAGGAAAAATAGGAAGGAATGGTCGATGGAGGAAGGAGCAAAGCCTGAGGGCTGAGCCTCAATAGATATAAGAATATGAAAAAAAAAGGCATCGGAGGAAATATCTCAAAAGACACCTGAAAAGAAGCTATAAAATATGCCACAACTATTAGAACAGTATTTTTTTATTCGAGCTATAACACTAAAATAGCAAAATTACATTGAAAAAGATACCAATCTATAGTTAATCCCTCGACAATCCCTAGTAAGACATGGCGTTTTTTCCACCTTCGGATATTCCTTCCTCATTCTTATCGCCGCTCTCATAGGTTATTACACGCTATCTAAGTGTTAATGCCTCACCAACCTGGCGGGTGTCGGGCGCACTGCTACGATAGTCGTATGATCTTACATCTTATATCTAGATCGAGCTAACTATATCATATCGTTTTTAAGGATCAAGCCCGTGTAAGCAGATGATTTATGCCTCGGAAACCCCAGGATCTGGGTGTATTTTCGTAAATGACAATGATGTATCTCTTTTTGAAGGCATATCAAAGAATTTGATGACATAGTGAAGTAGTGAAAGGACCCGAATGTGGGTTGTAGTGTACCGCTGGAAAGACGAGAGAAGATACATGTCAAGATAATGTTCATCATAGGTATTTGAGACCATTAAATTAACTACATGACAGACACATGACATGGCGTCATGTGGATGCTGGCAAGTGCATTGGGATTGCTCTGGTGGCGCTTACTTGCGCTTTGGCTTAGGTCGGATGAAAGGATCTGTCTCCTTCTTTTTGCGTATCATCGGGGGTCGAGGCTTGGGAGCACCTTGGTTGGGAGCCTATATCAATAATATATCAGCATGAGTAATTAATAAAGGGGTTAGCGAAGAGTATGACGCTTACAGTTGCTCCTGGTCTCATCGGCGGAGCCCTTGTCGGGTCATTTTCGGTCGGATACGCCCGGCCATCGCGGGAAGGTGTGATGAGACCCTAAGAAAGCATCAGCATATATGAAATCTAGTTAGTTGATTCAGTGGGTAGGAACTCACTCCTGGTGGGCCGTTAGTTGGCGGGCCCTTGGTTGGCGGGCCCTTGGAACCATTGCGAGCATTGGCCACTGGGTTGTCGCGAGAGGGACCAGAAAGACCAGGGTGCCCAGAAAGACCCGGATGACCACTGACTCTTGAGACATTTGGAGCACGGGGAGCCGGACCAGATAGACCGGGATGAGCACTACCCAATGGGCCCCTTGGAGCATTGATTGGGGGACGTGGCTGGCCGGTACGAGGACGTTGGGCTTGTGGCCCATCAGAGGCAGAGTCTTCACGTTTTCTCTTTGTGGAATTATCAACAGGGGTTGAATTTGTGGCTTGAACAACAGGGATTTTGGGGTTGTGTCCTCCCAGTTGACGCTGTCGCTGACGCTCAGTGAATGAATCTTGACGTTGCTTGAGGTTGAACTCGTCCCTCTCAATGCGGGATTTCTCAAACTTTGAAAGAACTTTTGTGGACTTGCAGTTACTGGACAAATGACCACATTCGCCGCATTCAAGACATCGTTCAGCACGGCAAGCATTCTTGGTATGGCCAGCCTGACCGCAGCGGAAACAGTTTCCTCGAGCATTTGCTTTTGCCTCGTCATTGTCGCAGTTGTGAGTGAAGTGATCGGCGCTTCCACAGATCCCACACATTTTCGTCGTATCTAAGCCCTTGCTTCCCCCAGAAGGTCCACTGGGTCGTGGAATTGGGGGTGAGCTGCGCCTAGAGGTAGGGGCCGAGACGGAGGGCGAGTCAAGGCCAATAGAAGCCGATGAAGGTCGGGAAATTGGCGGTGCAGGGGGTTCATAGTCTGGAGAGTCTGGCGTTTCTTCAGTGCCAGGGTCAACCATTTCAATCTCTTTGTAGCCAGTGAACTGCGGCTTCTGCAGGATTTTCAAAATATCACCCTCCGTGTAGACATTTCGCTCCCGCGCATTCTTGATGAGTCCATTCCAGAACTGGCCCTGTTCCAGGGATTGCGAGTTACCTAGAACCCAAAGCGATGACTTGGCACGGGTGAGACCGACGTTCATACGGCGGATATCAGCCAAGAAACCGATACCCTTGTTGGATGCTCGCACACAAGAGAAGATAATGACTTCGCTTTCTCTACCTTGGAAAGCATCAGTCGTATTGAAATCGACCTTCTTCAGAATTTCTTCGCCGTATCGTTGGGTAAACTGGTTCTTGAGCTCTCTCAGTTGACCCTTGTAAGGTGTGATGATGCCAATCTTGCCCGCAAAGTCGTAGCCTTTGACATCTGTGATCAAACGATCATACAGTTGCATGGCCACTTGCAATTCTGCGTAATTGATCAAGGAATGCCCTCTGGCCGCAGATGAGTGCATGCCCTGAACATCGAAGAATCGGTAAGGACTGAGAAGCTCGCTTTGATGCCAGGGACGCCGACGAAGCTTAGCCATGTCCGGTCCATCCTGCAACTTGCCATCGTAGAATGTCACACTGGGGAAATAACTGATGGCTGGATGCATACGGTATTGGATATCCAGCAAGTGTACGTCTTGAGGGTGATTCTTCTGCATGCGGACGAACAAACTTTGTTCATACTGGAACTTGGAGGCCATTTTTGACAGGACAGTTGGAGGCAACTGTTTGGGATCACCGACAAGAACACACTTCGAGCAGCCGTACTTCAGTGGGATAAGAGCACTGAGTTCAATACACTGTGCTGCCTCATCAATAATGACAGTCTCAAACTCGACATTCATACCCTGGAAAATTTCATGTCCAGAACCACTGAGCGTAGTGCAAATGACATGAGATTCGTTGATAATTTGTTCTTGGATCCGCCGTTTATGCATATCAGCATTACGGGCCAGCGTGTGGTTCTGATCACGAGCCTTATCAATGGATGCACTCAGTTGAGATCGTTTCTTTTTCATCAAGTCAAACTCGCGCTCCAGCTCTTCCGGAGGAGGTAGTCCCTTTGCTCGTGCCTCATCAAGTTGCCCACGAAGCTCTTTGAATGAAGTATCAGTGGTCTTATGCTCTTCGTAGAGCTTCTGCAAGTCGACGCCATTTCCTTTGCTGGGATCCTGGTTCAGACGGGCATTGACCATCTCATCGAGTGTAACGTCCAACACTTTGGTGTTGATCGCGTCGCTTCTTCCTAGACGAAGGACAGAGACCTTTTCTTGCCGGCCATGAGTCGTCCTCACACCTTCCTTCAATCTCATGACTAACTCGTCGACGGCGGCATTACTAGGCGCACACAAAAGGAGTTTCTTTGAAAGAGCATTTCTCGCAGCAGGGGCACCATTAACTTTGATCAACTGTTTCCCAAGCACGTCGCTTAGGAGACTTCCGACAAGTGCGATGATGGTCTTGGTCTTTCCTGAACCAGGAGGACCTTGGATGAGAGTAAATGCGTCGTTGTCGACGGCCGAC